ATCACAGAAACATAGAACTGAAGAGTTGGAAGGGGACCCTCAAGGGTCATCTAATCCAGTCTCACCTAAATCAGTCTGATAGGTGTTGTAGTCCCAAGTGACAAGGGCTGATGGGGAGTTGTGATCAAGAACATCTGGAGGGCCGCAGGCTGGGGGTGGCTGCTGTAGTGTGTCTTGCATTGAGTGGCTTGCCCAAGGCTCCACCGGGAATTAGTGGCAGGGCTCTCCTCAACCCCTTGTCTCTGGCTTTCTCATTTTGATTTCCAAAGAAGCATTGGTGTGCTGCCTTTATTATCTTAACTAGCTTCAGGTGCTGCTGACTTGGCATGGATCCATTCCGTAGCTGCCATCTTTAATTGGTCCATGGCCTTCCCCCTTGCCTTTGTGTGCCGGGGTGTGTTGCATGTAAAAGGGGCGTTTTTGGATCAAAACCCGGATTGGGCTGTTGACTTGCCCCGCTGCAGGTAGATCCAGTTCTCCACCTGCCACAGGCAAAGCCCTCTTTGCACTCCTCCAACAGAAAACTTAATAGGCCTTTGCTCTAACCCTCTGGCATTGCGCAGAGCACGTAATTCTCCCTTATCTTCCTTTTGAACTGGGGGATTCCTTGGCAGTGGTTTTGAGTGTGAGCTTGCAAGGTGCGCTGGGGTGGTCGACCTGTGATTCAGATTCTCGGAGAATCTGGAGAGAAGTGGCTGAATCCATCTTCCTTTGGGGCCTGCCCTGCGGGGAGGGAGGGTGGTGGGACACGCCTTGTTTGTTCCTGCAGTTGCTCCCCCTTTCCCTTCTCTCCCCCTCTACCATGCACACATCTGCGCTTTTGAGTCTGGAATGGTGCAGGTAAGTCATACCTGGAGGCCCTGAGAGGAGAGAAGTGGAAGGCCTGGTAATTAAACAGCAGCTGGGCACCATCAAAGCATCACTGGTGGAGCTGCTCCCCACCCCTGCTTTAGGGACCCGCACCCTGCACTGAGGCATGTGACCCATTTGAGGAGCAACACTGAAAGCCCATGTAGGTTTCCTGCTTGTTTTGGCACCTAGGTCCACATATGTGCTCCTTACTCCCAAGGCCGGTAGCAGAATTAGAAACTCAAGATATATAAGCTAATTGCCAAATGGCACCTTAAATCTAAGTTACGGTCTCCACAACGGATTGTCTAGTCACCTTTTTTAAACGATGAAACAACAACAAATTTCATTTCTATACCGCTTTATATTTTAAGGGGGGGGATCTCAAAGCGGTTTACAACACATTAAAACATCAAATAAAACAATGCAGAAACAAATAGCAACAAGACATCTGCACAGATTAGCGGCCTTGTGCGGCGAATGAGAAATCCTCACCTTTGGCTACAGGAATGCAGCTTTTTGCGTTTCCTTTTTTAAAAACCTGCCTCTGTGCAGCTTGTTTTTGGAACAAGTCCCCCTTTTTGCATTGATAAATTTGGTTTAAATAGGTTACAGGGTTGGTGACCAAAAATGGAGTAGCTTAGGTTGGCCAGCATCCTGTGACATCATTTGGGATATGTGTGAGGGAGTCTTTCCTAGACCAGCTACTGGTGGGGGGTGGGCTGTTTGGCTTGCGTGGAATGGAGGTGGCAGAGCCCTCCTGTTTGGCCTGCTTGCTTCCTCTTCCAAGGACTTTACTAGCTCAGGCCAGAATTAATGTCTCTCCCCCCCCCCACGGCACTGTGAAGAGCTGACAGAAGTACTTGTGATGGCCCCAGGGTGGTGAGATTGCCCACAAACTGGGATGAGGTAGAAGGAGAACAGGCTTCTCCCCCAAGACACTAGAGGGATGTGGATAAGATAATAAACAGAGCACACAAGAAGGCTGCCTCAGATCCTCTTGTGTGTAATAAAGGCCAGAGTTCGTAATGACATGCTTGCATCTCACCTCTGCCTTCCTTGGTCGTAATGGGAGCCTGTCTCTCCTCCAGGATGCAAGGGCCAGCCAGGTGTTTTCCAGGACACTCCTGAGGGAGGCTGCAGGTGGAGGCAGCAACCCCCATCTGTTGATTGTCCCCAGCGTGTAGTATGCAGATATTGACTGGGTGCTATTATTATTATTATTATTATTATTATTATTATTATTATTAATTCCCTTCACCCTAAGGTTGCAGGGCAGGTGACAGCTATTAAAACACAATATTAAAAACAGTTTAAAACAACTTACAACCACAGAAAAAAATAAATAAATATGCATCTCAAATGTCAAAAGCCAGGGTAAAGTGATGCATTTGACAGAAGCTGAATAACGAAGGTGCTGGATGCATCTCTCGGCAGAGGGAATTCTACAACTTAGGGGCTGCCACAGAGAAGGCCCTCTCCCGAGCTGTCACCCCCTGAGCTGCTGTGGACCCCAACCAGGAGGGCCCCCCTCTGCTGATCTTAACACCCGAGGGGGTCCATAGGGAAGGGAGGCCTGAATCCAAGGCTTTAAACACAAACACGAACACCTTAAATAGGGTCCAGAAATTAACCAGTGCAGGTGTTTAAAAACAAGGGTTATCTGAGAACTAAACAAAGCCCCAGTTCTGGGCAGTTGAAGTTTCTGAGTCGTCTTCAAGGGCAGTGAAAGATTCCTGCATTGCAGGGGGTTGGCCAAGATAGCCCCCGCGGTTCCTTCCAGCTCCACAGTTCTATGATTGTTTTGTGGAGCCCACGACCGTCTCTTATATTTCCTCGTGAGCCCCAAAGCCCCCAGACTTTGAGGACCTCTCACCCTCACCCTGCTGACTGCAGTAGCTCTCTGAAGTCTGAGGCAGAGAAGATCAGAAAAGCTACCTTCTACCAGCTTGGACTGTTGGCTTCTCTGGCCCAGTATTGCCCACTCTGGCTGGCAGCAGGGCTTCAGGCCGTGCGAGGGGCCTTGCTCCATTCCTGCCACCCTGTGGACCTTTTATCTGGAGGTGCGACTCAGAGGTGCCTCTATTTCTGCTGTTCTGGCCCCTCCCCTGGGAGAGGGAAAGAACCTGATCTGGCAGGTTGGGTTTTTTTTGGAAGGCCCCTTTGCCGAGCCGGCTGGGATTCCTCCCAGAGCGCCAGACTTGCCCGGACAAGAGTCCCGAAGCCCTGCGGTGGGCGCGTTTGCCTTGGATGGCTGATTCCTTGCCTTGGCTCCAACCCTGGCTTGCTCTGAGGCAAGCGATATCTGGAGCAGAACATTAATGCGAGCATAAGTCATGTGAAACGCTCGTCATTTTGCAACATTGGTAATAATCAAGTGGCGCTGTGCATTTGTGTATGTGTGTTGACTTCTGGTTTCCTCAGCCTCCCTTCCCTGGAGCTGTTGAAAATAACTGAGCAAGCACAGTAAGGTCCTTTCTTGTTTGGGGTAAGATGTTCCCGCTTCCAGGAGAAGCTTCTTTGTAACCCAGACAGTCGGATTTAGAAGCCCAGGCCCATTTTAATTCTCCTAATAACCGGGTCTGTCTAATCACGTGATGCTGGTGAGGGCTTTCGGTATCAAGGAAATCTTGTACGTGAAACTGGGATCTGGCCTACGCAACTGAGAATTTTTGTGTGGGTACGGAGATGGGGAGAGAGCTTTTTTGAGGGGGGATGAGAGAAAAGCCTGAATGTATTGAGGAAAATTATGGGGTGTGTCACTCTTTTTTGAATCGGGATCTCTGTGTCCATAGTTCCTATTTCTGAGACAATGGCTTCTAAAGTAAGAGTTGATTGTTTGGGCTGGGGAGGGGCTGGTTTCTTACTGGGGCGGATGCCTTGAAAGAAGTCCAGTAGCTAGTGGACAGAATGATTTAGTTGAGATTTGTGCATTGCAGGGGGTTAGACTAGAATTGGTGGCAAGGAATGGCTGACCACTGTCATGGGGGGCTGTTGACCCCAATACAGTGCTGCCTTGGTTTAAGAACAGCTTAGTTTATGAACAACTTGGATTAAGAAAACTGCAAAGTAGGTGTTTTGGTTTGTGAGCTTTGCCTTGGAAGCAGAACATGTTTCGCTTCCTGTTGAGTGTAAATTGAGTCCCCCACTGCTATGGGAAAGCACGCCTTGGTTTAAGAACGCTTTGGTTTAAGAATGGACTTCTGGAACGGATTAAGTTCATAAACCAAGGTACCACTGTAAAGCAAAATTTCCTAACCCCCCTCGAATGCCTTACACAAAAAGTTAAAGTAGACACAGCACTGGGTGCAAATCTTTCTGTTCAGCAGCACCCTGATGGGAAAGCACATTGTCTCCTTCCCCAATGTTCAGATCGATAATTTCAGGGGGAAGGAGGGGGAAGCAATGATAAAGTCTCCTCAGCTGATCTACACAGATTAAATACAGGGCAGGGCTGTGTGTGAATGTGGGTTCGTTACACCTACTGCTGGCATTTCGGCCCCAGAGGGCTGCCCCCAAAAGGTTAGTGGGGTGACTTCCTGCAGATTTGGAGATAAGCCTCTCCTCTCCCTGATCCTGGTGTTTTACCTGTTGGGGATGGGGGTGGAGGGGGAAGGAGGAAGGAAGCACCTGGATTTATAGTCAGTTTAGGTGTGACACAGACCTCCTGGTATATCCAGCTTCCCCGCCCTCCTCTGCACAAACACATTAAAAAACAAACAAACCCCTGCAGGTGGAATGCTAGCATATCAGGTAGAAGGGTTCTAGCTTGAAGTGCTGCTTTTCTACATGCGGGGTCCTCTTTTCTTTGTCTTTTCTTAGTAAATATGCATTAAACATGCCACTCCTTCAGCTGCAGATCATACCATATGCTCTCTCCCGACTTGTCTCGAGGGCTGGGCGTGATGAGCATGGTTAAGCAGTTTCTGCCTCCCTCCTTCTGCAGGTGCCCCCTTTTTTTCTTCTAAGACGAGCCCAGCTAGCCGATCAAAATAGAGTCCCTCAAGGTGAAAGTTGACTTTCTGAAGGTGCCCCTCGGCCTGAAGAAGCCCACTCTGAAAGAGGCAGCGGCTGCCTTGGCGGCTGTCCCGGGGCCTGGGAGACCTAAGTCCATCAACGTGGACCGCTACAAGGCGCGGCGCTCTGACAACATGGACAACGAGTCTCAGTATTCCGGGTACTCCTACAAGTCCGGGCATTCCCGCAGCTCCCGGAAGCACAGGTGAGTCTGCCGGCAGGCTGCACCCTTGGGCCTCCCGCTTTGAGCCAGGGGGAGCAGTTGGTTTAAACCAGGGTTTCCCAAAATTGGGCCTCCAGTTGTTGTTGTACTACAACTCCCATCATCGCTAGCTGGCAGGACCAGTGGTCAGGGATGATGGGAATTGTAGTCCAAAACCAGCTGGAGACCCAAGTTTGGGAAACCATGGTTTAAATTGTTGCAGTGAGCTCTCATGTGGGGCTGCCCTGGGAGACTGCATTAATGTACAAAGCTCTGAGTAACTTGGGTTCAGGGGGTTCCCTTGTCTCTGCCCACCTTGTGTCTAGGAAGAGGAGCATGAAGTACTCTTGCACACAGCTCTGTTCTTCGTACACTCTGCCTTATTATTATTATTATTATTATTAAATTTAATTTTAAAACAAGTCATAATAATAAACTCCAAACAAATTTAAAAGTTATAATACAAATTTGTTCATTGCTGCAATGTTACAAAACGATGACAATAAGCTTTAGTTACACATTACTGTATCGAATCCACTGTGCACCTCAATTTTCAAAACCTTGAAACCAAAAGCAGCATCAAATCTAATGCACACCCTAGTTTTTGTGAGTGAATTTGATCAAGAAAGATGCACGTTACACTCAAGTAAATAAGAACTGGAAATGTTTAATGAGCAAACATGACAATAGGGCTGGGCAGTATATTGATATATTGTCCAAAACCGGTTTGAAGCTCATATTGTGACCGGTTTTACAGTTTTTGACCTGGCAATATATTGCGAAACATTGTGTGTGTGCATGTGTGAGCTCAGTGGGTTAAGGGCCTGATTCTGTTCAAGGCACCTTCCTGCGGGTCCAACAGCTGCAGAACTGTGGGGCTGTGTCTGTAGGCGACTGCGAAGACAAGATGGAGGACTTGGTGGGCTGTAGCTGCCCTGAGGTGCTGAGCAGGACAGTGTCCTATTTCCTTCCATGGTTCTCAGCGTGCATCTCTTCCTCCCCTCTGCCCATTGCAGAGATCGACGGGAGCGGCACCGTTCCAAGAGTCGAGATGGGAGTCGAGGGGACAAGTCGGTGACCATCCAGGCCCCTGGGGAGCCCCTGCTGGACAACGAGTCAACTCGAGGCGACGAGAGGGTGAGTGGCTTGTGGCCAAGTAAAGAGGGAAGCCCCCCTGCGAGGGCCAGTGGCCACCACCTCCTGCCCGCCTTTTCCTGGCTGGCTTTCCCAACCAGCTAACACCCAAACAGCGAGTGATTTATTCTGAGGTTGGGCTGGGCAAATGTTCCAGGGAACTTCCATGTGCTTTGTTCAGTAAAGGAGAGAAGCAGCGGCAGACAAACCTGCACGTCAGCCTGGATAGCTCAGTTGGTTTGAGCATGGTGCTGATAACGCCAAGGTTGCTAGTTCGATCCCTGTATGGGACAGCTGCATATTCCTGCATTGCAGGGAGTCGAGCTAGATCAGGGGTCAGCAACCTTTTTCAGCCATGGGTCGGTCCACCGTCCGGACCTCAGACCATGTGGTGGGCCAGACTATATTTTGAGAGGGGGGGGGATAAACAAATTCCTATGCCCCACAAATAACCCAGAGATGCATTTTAAATAAAAGGACACATTCTACTCATGTAAAAACACGCTGATTCCCGGACTGCCCGTGGGCTGGATTGAGAAGGCGATTGGGCCGCATCCGGCCCCCGGGCCTTAGTTTGCCTACTCCTGAGCTAGATGATCCTCAGGGTCCCTTCCAACTCTAGAATTCTGTGGAGCTCTGTATTTGGCGAGTCTCCTAATTGGATACAGGTTTCCTGCCCAAAGTGACTTGCAGGCAGGGAAATTCTATGTGCCATGCTGCTGGTGGATCCTATAAACAAATGGAAATGTTCTTTATGTAGTCAGTCATTTATTTATTATGGCAGTTGGATATGGGCCATATTCTTGTGCTTATAAACTGAAAGACAAAAGAAGGGGAAGTGCTGGGGAAGACTTCGAGGAAGGAGATCGGTTTGACAGTGCCAGGATGAGGAGTCCCTCCCCCCATTTGCCACCCATGGATGAGGGCAGTGCATTGGGGCCACTGTTCTAGTTTAGCCCTAGTATCAATAAGATACTTTCGTCATGCTCCAACTGAAGTTAAAAGCACCTGTTAGCAAGAAATGTATCAAAAAGCCCTTGGCAATAGGCTTATCGGGGATCAAAAATATTAGGACAGAGGTGCACATGAAACACTTAATACAGAGATAGTCCCATCTGGCCCAGCCAAAATGATCAAGGGGCTGGAGCGATGCTCCTAAGAGGCAAGGTTTTGCAGCATCCGGAACTTTAGAGGAAGTGTGAGTAAGGGGTGACACGAAAGAACTTTATGAAATTATGCACGGCATGAAGAAGATGCATAAAGAAAAGTTTTTCTCCTTCTCTCATACAGTGGTGCCTCGCAAGACGAAATTAATTCGTTCCGCGAGTTTTGTCGTCTTGCGATTTTTTTCGTCTTGCGAAGCACGGTGTCGGGAAAGTTTTGGAAAAGCTTCAAAAATCACCAAAGTCTTTAAAAACCTCAAAAAAAGGCTACCACACCGCATTCTATGAGTTGCTCCTCGAAGTCAAGTCGCAACTGTATTAACGGTGTTAAGAAAAGGAAACAAACTTGCAAGACGTTTCCGTCTTGCGAAGCAAGCCCATAGCGAAAATCGTCTTGCGAAGCAGCTCAAAAAACAAAAAACCCTTTCGTCTAGCGAGTTTTTTGTCTTGCGAGGCATTCGTCTTGCGAGGTACCACTGTACTAGAACTCTGGGACATCCCACAAAGTGGAATGTTGGAAGGTTCAGGGCAGACAGAACCTTCACGTGGTGCATAAACTATTCAACTCACTCTCACGGGAGGCAGGGCTGAAAGAGGGATGGACAAATCTGTGGATGTTAAGGCTATCAACGGCTACTGGCCACTTTGGCTCTGCTCTGTTTGCCTCCATGGTCAGAGGAAGCAAATGCTTCTGAATCCCAGTTGCTGGAAAACTGCAGGCATGAAGAGTTGCTCTTTTTGCTCAGGTCCCATTTGCAGGTTTCCCATTCAGGCATCTGGTTGGCCCCTGTGAGAACAGGACGATGGACTAGATGAGTTATTGACCTGATCCTGCAGGCTCTTACAGGTGTGTGACTAGACAAGGGAGGAGCAGCACCCGTCTGCTGAAGTACACATGAAGAAGCTTTCAGGCAGAGTCAGTCCACCTGGCCTGTTCCTCTCTGCCATTACTGGCACCTATTTGTAGCAGAGGGAGGCCATGCTCAGCACCCCAAGACTTGACCCTTCTTGGTGCAAGAAGGTGTCCTACCATGTGGTGTCTGCCTGCTCCCTCACCTGCCCCTGCTTGGCCCTTTCCCTTCTTTTGCAGGACGACAACTGGGGAGAGACCACCACAGTGGTGACGGGCACGTCTGAGCACAGCATCTCCCACGATGACATCACGCGCATCACCAAGGACATGGAGGACAGCGCCCACCTGGACTGCTCCCGCCACCTGGGTGTCTCGCTGGGCGGGGCCCTGGCCCTCCTCTCCTTCCTCACGCCCTTGGCCTTCATGCTGCTGCCCCAGCTGCTGTGGGGGGAGCGGCTGGAGCCTTGTGGGACGCCTTGCGAGGGGCTCTTCATCTCGGTGGCCTTCAAGCTCCTCATCCTCCTGCTGGGCAGCTGGGCCCTCTTCTTCCGCCGCCCCAAGGCCTTCTTCCCGCGGATCTTCGTCTTCCGCGCTCTCCTCATGGTGCTCGTCTTCCTCCTGGTCGTCTCCTACTGGCTCTTCTACGGCGTCCGGATCTTGGACTCTCACGACACCAACTACCAGGGCATTGTCCAGTATGCCGTCTCCCTGGTGGATGCCCTTCTCTTCGTCCACTACCTGGCCGTGGTTCTCCTCGAGCTGCGGCAGCTCCAGCCCCATTTCACCCTCAAGGTTGTCCGCTCCACCGACGGGGCGAGCCGGTTTTATAACGTCGGCCACCTCAGGTGAGGAAGGGCTGCAGTGGAGGGTGCACAGTTGGCGGTACAGCTTGTTCTGATCATGATGATGATGACAACGACCTGCCCTTTGCCAGCACGTCCTAGGACGGGTTACAACAATTTAAATTTTTTTTTAAAAGGTTCAGACACGTTACATTCACAAGAGTAGAGTGCAGCATGAAAACACACATCTTGGGGTGCTGAAGGCCAGGACTGATTTGTTTGATTGACTTCAGTAAGATTTTTTTTAAAAAAAATACATCTCCCATCTGACAGGCAAACAACTATTTGTTGTTGACATCCCCTTTCCAGGGGAGTTTTTAATGGCTGATTGTGCTTTAAATACTTTGTTCGGAACCGCCCAGAGCAGCTCTGGGGCAACCCAGCCAGATGGGTGGCATATAAATAATGAAATCATTGCTATTGTTGTATTATTAAAATGAATGAAATAAGTAACAGGCTGCGGGCACTGGAGATTCCATTAATCAACCAGTCAATCAATTATGCTTCCCTTCATCTGAGGACCCCCTTTTCTTTCTCTGCCTCCTTGCAGCATCCAGCGAGTTGCTGTGTGGATCCTGGAGAACTACTACCACGACTTCCCGGTCTACAACCCGGCCCTCCTCAACCTCCCAAAGTCTGTTCTCTCCAAGAAGATGTCTGGCTTCAAGGTGTACTCCCTTGGCGAGGGTGAGCGATCCTGGCTCTCTGAATCATAACACCGTAGACTTGGAAAGGGACCCTGAGGCTCATCTAGTCCGGTGTTTCCCAACGTTGTGTCTTCAGCTGTTTTTGGACTACAACTCCCATCATCTTTAACTAGCAAGATCAGTGGTCAGGGATGATGGGAATTGTAGTCTGAAAACAGCTGGAGAATCAAGTTTGGGAAACACTGAGCTGGTCCAGCCCCTTGCAATGCAGGAGTGTGCAGCTTTCCCATATGGGGACTGAATCTGCCACCTGGGCATTATCAGCACGGTGCTCTAACCAGCTGAGCTAGGTGTACATGTGAAGCTGCTGCTGCCACGCCGCTGTTCTCATCCTGAAGCAAAGTTCTTAACCTGAAGCACTATTTCTGGGTTAGCGGAGTCTGTAACCTGAAGCATATGTAACCTGAGGTACCACTGAATTATGTGAGGTGGGGGTTACCTGCCCCCCCATATTTTATTCAAGTTGGTACCCCAGCTGAGCATGCAGTGGCTGCTCTTCCATTGAATTATGCTCCCTCCTCTGGTCCCCCCCGCCATCCTGCACAGGCCTGCCTCTTCACTGCTGTTTCCTCTCTCCTCTTTGGCCACATTCACACCATACATTTAAAGCACTATGATACAACTTTCAACTGTCATGGCTTCCCCCAAAGAATCCTGGGAGCTGTAGTTTGTTAAGATTACTGAGAGTTATTAGGAGCCACCCCCCACCCCCATTACTGTCCCAGAGTAATATTTCCCAAAGTTTCCTGGAAAAAGAAGAATGATTGTTAAGCCACTCCGGGAATTGTAGGAGGGGAATTGGGATCTCCTAACAAACTCTCAGCGCTCTATGTGTGATTGCAAAAGGTGGTGGCCAGAATTTCAAGCCTTCTTGATTCCCTTCTCTGTTCCCGTCCTCCAGAAAACACAACCAACAACTCAACAAGCCAGTCGCGGGCTGTCATTGCTGCAGCGGCACGACGGAGGGACAACAGCCACAATGAGTATTACTACGAGGAGGCTGAGCATGAGCGCAGGGTGCGCAAGAGACGCGCAAGGTATGCACAAAAGGGGGTGGCTGTGTGTTCCTGTTCGTCCCACAGCAGAGAAGGAACTGAGCTTGGCTTGCCAAGTCCTTACAGTTGACATTATGCACTGTAAATTCCTCGAGGCAGAGTTGTGAAATTTATGGAAATTCTGGGAAATCGTGCAGTGCTGACTTCCCTAGCGAACCTAAACTTGTTTCATCGGTTTAACAACTTAAAATGCATTCGTTTTATACAGTAATGGCTTGTGAAATTGTGTTGTTTTTGCACATTTATGAAGTTCACACTGCAACCTTTCCTTCCTTCTGCAAACGTTCTGATACCTTTTGCTCCTTTTCCTTCCCTCCACTCCCTCCTCTCCCCTCGCTGTGGCTTTGAGAGGAGAGCATGCGATGGGTTCCGCAGTCCATGGCTTACTATATCACAGGACCCCTCTTGTCCCGACAGGCTGGTGGTGGCTGTGGAGGAGGCCTTCACTCATATCAAACGGCTCCAGGAGGAGGACCAGAAAAACCCGCGGGAGATCATGGACCCGCGAGAGGCGGCGCAGGCCATCTTTGCCTCCATGGCCCGGGCCATGCAGAAGTACCTGAGGACCACGAAGCAGCAGCCGTACCACACGATGGAGAGCATCCTGCAGCACCTGGAGTTCTGCATCACACACGACATGACGCCTAAGGTAGCAAAGGGAGATCAGAGGGCCAGCCGAGATAAATGGCTGCCCTGTTAATGTTATATAGGATTCTTCTACAGAAACTGCATCGTATCCCCTAAATTATATGTGGGGCAGACCTACTGAAATTAATGGGCCCAAGAGAGTCATGCCCATTAATTTTAATGGCCCTTGATTAGGATTAATAATGGTGTGCAACCTAGAATATTTGGGTGTGGGTATGTGTCCGAGAGGGACGTGGGTGACATTGTGGGTTAAACCACAGAGCCTAGGACTTGCCGATCAGAAGGTTGGCGGTTCGAATCCTGTGACGGGGTGAGCTCCCGTTGCTCAGTCCCTGCTCCTGCCAACCTAGCAGTTCGAAAGCACATCAAAGTGCAAGTAGATAAATAGATACCACTCCAGTGGGAAGGTAAACGGCGTTTCCGTGCGCTGCTCTGGTTCACCAGAAGCGGCTTAGTCATCCTGGCCACATGACCCGGAAGCTGTACTCTGGCTCCCTCGGCCAATAAAGCGAGATGAGCGCCGCAACCCCAGAGTCGGTCACGACTGGACCTAATGGTCAGGGGTCTCTTTACCTTTACCTATGTGTCCAAGAGTCACTGTTGTTGCTATGCCATTTTGGCATAGTTAAGTAGAGCTCTTCTGGATCATAACAAGGCTTGGACCTGGTCCGTTGTCCTGACGGCAGCAGCCCATCCCATAGTTGCATATCCCCATCAGCCAGCATTCAGAGATAGACTGCCTCTGAACTTGAAGGTTCAAATTTAGCTCTTAAAAAAATGGCTTTTCTTCTGTTTAAATAATAACACTCAGCAATTTTCCAAAGTGACCTTCAACACTGAGGAAACCCAGACCCTAGCCATTCAGACTTTAAAGCCCAAGAGCAGAGGCAACCTCCCCCAACTTATGGGGCCTTCAAATGTCTGTTTGGACTCTTATCTCTCATCATCCCTGATCACTGGCTGTTGCTGGCTGGGACAGATGGCTTAGGGAAAGGCTGGGTTTATCTTTTGATTTTTAGTCTTCGTTAATTAATGTGGTAGCCACCTTTTTGAAGTATAACAGAACGGTGGGATATAAATATTTTTAGTCATTCCAGGCTTTTGTGTATGTGTGCGGAACCTGACTTCAGGTGTCTGAGCTATAGAGGAGCCAAAAGCGCTTTGCCCTCATTCAGATGGCCTGCCTAACAGGGGTGTTGTCATGGGGCCAAGTCTCAGTGAGGGCAGTAGCTCCCTGCTTGCCCTAGCACTACCACCATTCAAATATATGGTAAAGGGGCAATAAACAGGTTCCCAAATGCTTGTTTGGTCTATAAGTCTGAAAGTGCTAAAGATACCTGCTCCAGAGACTGTTGGGTTAAAAAAACACAAAAACACACCAATAGCGCCCCCTAGCAGCGTGAAGCATGTTTGCAAATACTGTTAAAGTTGGCCTACGCTGCTTCTTGGTGACTCTCCCCAGCTTTTGTAGCCTGCAAACAAGCGCTAAGCTCTTTCAAGCAGGATTTTAGTTTTTGCCATGTGTTAGGCAGTGCAGTTGAATTGGAGTTGGAGGGTGGGGGTTACATATTTCAACTTCAAGTAAAGCTTCATTCATTGGATATTGGATTGTAGGATATTGCCCTTACATTCAGAGCCAGATTACAGATTCCTTGACACGATAGAAGTCTATTAATGACATGATGGAAGTTTGCAAAATTATGCAGGGCATATAAAGAGAGGACAGAGGAAACATATTTCTCCCCTCTCTTGCAACACATGTGGACCCTCAGTGAAGCTGAAGATAGTAGTAATAATAATAATTTTATTATTTATACCCTGCTCATCTGGCTGGGTTTCCCCAGCCGCTCTGGGCAGCTTCCAGCACATGTAAAAACATAACGTCAAACGTTTTAAAAGTACTTATTCATGGAGTGCACAGTTAAACTGTGGAACTCTCTCCCACAAGAGGCAGTGGTGGCCACCAACTTCAATGGCTTTAAAAGAGGGTTGGACAAGATTCATGGAGGGAGAGGGCTATCGATGGCTATGAGCCATGATGGCTGTGCTTTGCCTCCACGGTTGGAGGCAGCAATGCTGCTGGATTCTGGTTGCTGGAAACCAGAGTGCTGTTGTGCTCGGATCCTGCTCGGGGGCTTCTGTTTGGCCACTGGGATAACAGGATCTGGACTCGGCGGGCCATTGGCCGGATCCAGCTGGGCTCTTCCTCTGTTCTTAAGACTTGTCCTTTCGCTCTTTTCTGCCTGCAGGCCTTCCTCGAGCGATACCTGACGGCTGGACCCACCATCCAGTACCACAAGGACCGCTGGCTGGCTAAGCAGTGGACTCTCGTCAGCGAGGAGCCAGTGACCAACGGCTTGAAGGACGGCGTGGTCTTTGTCCTGAAGCGCCAGGACTTCAGTCTGGTGGTGAGCACGAAAAAGATCCCCTTCTTCAAGCTCTCGGAGGAGTTTGTGGACCCCAAGTCACACAAGTTTGTGATGCGGCTTCAGTCGGAGACCTCCGTGTGAACTGAATCTGGGGTTTAGGGGCTTGGATGCCAGAGGAGCGATTTGCGACGGGGAGCAGCCCTGGTGCACAACACCTGCCTCGTAGGAATTTAGAGGAGATTTCCAAGCTTGGGGTTTGGAAAGAGGCATTTCCACCAAGTTTTCCTTCCTGGAGTTGGGAGTTTGCACCTACGACTTTACATCTTCTGATGCTGCCATCGATGGACCTTTCTTCACAATGCCAGTGGAGGGGTGGGGTGGGTGGATGTGCCCCCTTTTTTCTTGTACCTCCTTTTTCATATTTTTTTGGTAGCAAAATTCCCAGGAGCCCAGAAGGTGTGCAAGTGGAAAGGATGGTATCTTCCCCACCCTCCCCCAACCCCTGGCCTGGTCCCGAGTGAAGTGATTGAAATTTATGGTGCCAAATTTTAAGGGCTAATTCCGTTCACTGTCTTCACCAGCATCGCCAAACACAGTTGTGGGTCTGAGGAACCTTCTTGAATGTTTGTTTGGTTGTTTTTTTTAAAAAAAAGAACACAAGCCGACTCTAACCTCACAGTTCTGGCCTTGGAAATATCACCTGATGCTGTTGTAGTGGTTGCCGTCCATCTTCTCTCGTTCTCTGTGCTTGCACAAGACTTTTGCGGAGTCCCACGAAAGCAAATGCCTATGGATGGTAGGCTTGTGTGGCTGCTATTTTTTGTAATCTTCCATCATTCCGTGGCACATGCAAAAAAAAACCCCAACCCAGCCAGCTCTCCCGAATTTTTGCAAGTCCGATCTAAAACCATCCTGTTTCAACTTCCTCTGGGGTATTTCTCTGACTCAAATTTTTAAACACACAAGGACACATTTTGGGGGGAGATGGGGTGAGGTTTTTAAAATGGTGACTTGTTGTTTTTTTTAAAGATGCTGTTCTCTTTTAAAGGACATCCTGTGTGTTGTAAATAGTTGACTTCTCTAGGGTGACCCAAACTGTCTCCTGGCTGGGTCTCGTCTCCTTGACTCTTCCCTGTGGTTTGACCCTTGGTTTGACTTGAAAGAAGGCTGTTACATTCTGTAGGACTTGGGTATAAGCTGAGAAACTGACCCCCCCCCCCTTTCTGGAGTGTGAGAGGCGGCTTCTTTTGCACAAGCCCCTTTGAAATGAACGGCAACCCCCACGAGCGGGTGAGTGTTCCTGTTCATTTTGACAAGGCTTCTGCAGGGAAACTGCCCAGTGGACCCTGCCCTCTTTGAAAACCACAGCAAAATGCCATGAATTTCAGAGTTCTGGAGCAACCTTGCTCCCTCCACGTTGATTTTTTCTCTCCAGATCCTCACTATTACGTTTTTTTATTTTTTATTTTAAAAAAGCAGGTTCTCCCCTTATAACAGCTGCACTGAAGAAAATGATCCAGTGTGAGAAATGGGCAATTTGCAGCTTTGCTCTTCAAGCAGGCCAGCTTTCTGTCTGTGTTGTGGGGTGGTTTGCCTCCACTCCACCTTGAACAGCTTTGGTGGAGAGATAGAACATCTGGGTGAAGCTGCTATCTTACCATCCCAGAAAGGAGCCCCCTCCTCCCCTGTTAGTTTCCCCAGGCAACCACCCACCCTGCCTTGAGCTTTCATGCAGCTCTGCCAGCCACCTCAATGCCTTTTGGGAAATCCAAGAACAAAGATGTTGATTGGCTGCCCCCGCCGCCAGAGCCTGATGAGGTCACACTGGGCCGTAACTCCCATCGTCCTCTTTGTGCTTTAAATGTTTATTGTTCTGTCTGGCTATTTCTTCTGGAAGAAATTCCTCCCCGCCCCCCCCCTTTGCTACAAGGAATATACCTCAGGAGTTTTTCTGCCGAGGTTCTTTCCATAGCTGCGCTGCAGTTTCAACTTACCTAGGGTTGTTTTTTTAAAAATAAAATTAATTATTATTAAAAGTAGGTGTCGGGTTGCTCTCAGACTAATTGCAGTGTGAGAGCCGCTCAAGCCTTCTCTCTTTGTGGGCGGTTCTTCTTGGGGGGGTTTGGTAAGGATGTTGGGGTAAGAAATCTCAAATGGCATCTTTGGCCAGGCTCCTCCCCTCCAGCCATTTTAGACTACAACTCCCATCAGCCTCAGCCCATGCAGTTATGCTAGATGTGGATGATGGGCGTTGTAGTCCAAAACAAGTGGAGGGCCACAGCCTGGCTAGGGCTGTCAGATTGTATCACTGTGATGTTTAAATTTGATTTCACTGTGATTTTTTTTATTGTTTCATTTTTTATATATATTTGGAGGACGATCCAGCCAGAAGGTGAAGCACTTTCTCAATTATAATTCCCTTTGAGTACAGCATCTCTCCTGTTGAAACCAATGTGCAACGCTATGGCTGGATTCTGCCTTTTTAAATTTTAATTATTAAAGGAGGACTTTGAAAAGATGTTTCCTTAAGTTGGATCTGTCCGGCTTCGGGTGGGGCGGGAGGTGAGGGCAGTAAGCATTCTAGAACCTTCTTTCCCTGCTGTGGAATCCCACATGACGAAACAGGAGACTTCCTGATGGAGGCCGCTTAGGACCTCTTCGGCACATCTTGGTTTAAAGGGCACACCTGAAAATGTGAAGTGCAAACGTGATCTGTTGGCTACAGTCGTGACCTCGGGGGGGGGGGCAGCTGTAACTTGCTGCCCATTGGGAAGCCCAGTCTTGCTGGTTGTGAAATGGCTTTCAGAAACTTGAAAATGGGACCTACCTGCATCAGTGCGACATTTCTCCCCCTCCCATGTTGCATTGGTGAAGATTTGCCCCCCTTTTCTCTGCCAGATGGCGCCTCCTGTTGCGCCATCTCCTGCCCTTTTTGGGGGAGGTCTTCATTTTTCTACCTATGATGTCTGCTTCACTTCTGCCATAAACCTGCTTTAAACTAATGGCAACATCTTTCCCCCCTCCCTGTGTGGCTTAGCCTACGATACATGCAGATCTCCTTGATCTGGCACCGGTGGGTGCTAACACCTCTACCAGAGCAGCCGAAAGGTGACCCGAGAGCCATGTAGCAGCCCCTTGAACCCCAACTGCAGCCTTCACCAATCTGATGCCCTTCAGATGGTTTGGACTGGGGCTGATGGGAGTTGTAGTTCTAAACGTTTGGCAGGCACTGGATTGGTAAAGTCTGGTGGGTTCTCTGTAGCCTCTGGCTGGGTTGCGTCCTGCACCTGTTTAATGAGTTCAGGAAGTCTTAGTTTACTCTTAGAGCAGTGGTTACCAAACTTGGGTCTCCAACTCCCACCATCCCTAACTAGCAAGACAGGGATGATGGGAACTGTAGTCTAACAACAGCTGAAGATCCAAGCTTGGGAAACACTGTCTTAGAGGAAGCAAGAGCTGGTTCTGTATGTACAAGTGTGCAGGTGAGTCCATTTCTTAAGAGGCTTCAGACATGTTATGTAGTGATCCATTTGTGTAGTAATAATTCTCTTGTCTTGGGCGATGTGCTTTCTCTGGCTGGTGGCTGGCCGCATCCTCCTAGGGGTGGTTGCCACATCGTGGCAAAAGCTCAAAAGCGAGCCAGAAGTCACAAAATGCTCACAAGCCCAGGCAAGCTCCAAGTTTGTGGCAACACATCTTCGGTGGAGAGATCTTGAATATACGGTGGTCTTTCCAACCTGGTGCTCCCTTGCTGGGTTGGCCTGCCATTCCTGTCACCCCCAGGCTGCCGTTCTGTGGTCCTGCTCACATTGCACAGCTGTGATGGCTGGGGCTGATGGGAATTGTAGTCCAGAGCAGCTGGCAGAGCTGGGGAAAGTGGATTTAACCTGTCCCTGCTTGTATCTCTGATCTTGGCCTTCCAGGTGTGACTTCACTGCCATTTCACATTGTCACAGACGAAACCCTTTCAGCTTGATCGCAAGTAGTGGTTTGGCAAGAGGACAAAGTTTCAGTGGCAGAAATACCACCAACTCCCCCTCTCGTATTGAAAATGTAAAATAGAAACTTCTTCCCCCCTGCCTCAAACACACACTGAATTTAGGAAAATACTTTTTTGTTTCTTTTTTAAAGACAGAGTTGGAAAAACCTTGTGCATGCGTGTAGAAAATTGTAAAATGTAAAATTGTTTTTTAATATATAAAATTTTGTTTTTACAGTTTGCAGTGGTACTAAGCATTATTGCAATGTTAGTAAGGTTTTTTTTCATAAATCTAGGAAGTAAAACTGTACATTTTTTAAAAAAAATAAAATAAACACCTTTTGGAACTTTTGAAATTCCTTTTTCCCCACCCCCTCTTTCCAATATTTACAGGAGAGGTGTGAGTTTGAAATGTGTTTCTGGCTCAGCCGAAGTCCCCTTTGCAAGTTAAATGTGGAAACTCCAATCTGACCCCTGATAAATATCAAGGACTGTTCTGCTGAGAAATGTGAGGCAGAGTGGATGATAACAGAAGCACTGCAAATCAACTTTCACAGATAAGAGGCTGGCAGGTGATAACCTGCCTAGAGCCATCCAAAGAGTTTAGTTGTGGAACTGGCATTTCAGGTTCCCCATTCACAACACATACTGGCGTCTCTGATTGATTCATCATTAAAATCACTGTGATAGAAATGGGGTTCTGAGTGGGCCTGAATCTTAGGTAGCAAGTGGCTGGGAGTGGACGTCTCTTTTGCCATTTTGCCCTTGTTTGATTCGGTTACAGCTGTTCCTACTGCTTCTTAAAATCCACAACAGCAAACTACGACTCTTTCCCCCAAGCCTCAGGCTGCTCTGAATGCTTCTGCTGACTGCTCTTGTTGCCGTCACTCAGGGCAAAATGCAGCACATTAATGGCTTAATTAAATGCCATTATGGGCAGAGTGCATCTCTCTGGGATGAGGTGGTGGAGCAGGAAAGCAATTGACTGGAAGGTCGCTTCGCTGAGCACAGTGGCTGCGCTGCAATTGTTGCTGTCAGAGTACGCTGTTCAGTCCGCTGTCTCTTTGCTATCTGAGACAGAATGCTGGGTGAATTCCCTTTTTTAAAAAAAGGGATGTTTTATTTTATAAAATGGATATACTGCTGGCTTGCAAAAAAAGAAAGAAAAAAAGACAAACCTCAAAGCGGTTTAAAAGAGGAAGAAAACAATAAAATTATCAGTGAAAACAACTGCATAAAACAGTCAAGTACTAATTAAAAACAGATTGAAGCTCCTGTAAACGTTCTGTGTATCTGGGTTGGCTTGTCTAAACAAAAGTGTGTTTTGCAAGCACTGAAAAGAGCACAGTAAAAGGATCCGCCTGATGTCAATAGGCAGGGCGTTCCAAAGTTGAGGATTTCTATAACAAAATTCATATAAATGCGGAATGAGCACCCGTGGCACCCGTATCAGTTCCCGTTCCACAGATTAAAGCAGTCAAGTGTGCATATGTTAAGGTAATCTGGGTAAAACTGGTCCCTAAGTGTTGGCATTTGCCTGTCTTTTCTTCCAGCAGTTGGAAGCCAAGCACATGGGTACATCAACTTTTGCCGACCTGGAGTCCTGCAGATAGTCTGGACTCGCAACTCCCGTCTGCCCCAGCAGTTAGTACAAACTGGCCATCATGCCAGGGAGTTCTGGGAGCTGGGAGTCTAAAACATCTTGGAGGGCTGATGAAGGCTGCGTACTGAAAATGTGGCAATTGAGGGTGTTGTGCACTGCATACTAGTAGCGTGCAAGCCAGTGCTACTCTGCCCTGTGCTCTGAAAGATGAGTGCTCAATTGTGGGGTTTTTGCCTAATACTTAACGGGGGTGTTTTGCCCCGCAGAAAGGAATTAATTTTCAGCTAAATAAACTGTAATTTTGGTGATAATATCAGCAATAAAGGGTTTATAATACAAAACCCAAAAGCACGAGGGGAGGAGTTGAAAAAGAAAAGAGCTCTCATCCATGCTGGCAGATTTACTGAAGCTGGGAAAAAGATATCCCTAGAGGAATTTAGGATCAGCCTTAAAAGGCTGTTGTCAAAGTAGTCTTTTTATCTATTGCTTATCACGCGAAACAATGGAGATTCAATTAATTCCTGCTTCTACACATCTTTACACCCTCCAGTGACTGTGCTTATAATAGCTGGATTGCAATTGCAAGGATCTCCGAGCAGCCTTGAATGCCATGTTACTGAACTCACTGGTTTGCTTGCTCTGCAAGAGCATGTCCCATACAGATTATTTTTAAATCCAAGAGGGCGTCTATTCTGTTGGCTAAATATTTGAAGAACCTTAAGAGGAGCCTTGCTGGATCTGGTCAATGGCCCATCTAGGCCTGCAGCCTGTTCTCCCAGGGGCCAGCCACGTGCCTCTGGGAAGCTTTGCAAGCAGGACCTGAGCACAAGAACACTCCTGTGGTTTCCAGCAATTGGGATTCAGAGGCATACTGTGCCCTGAAGGCTGGCTTGGGGGTTGTTTCTAGGACTGCACCTACATGAGGATGGATTTTGAAAACCCACATGTATATCTATATGCATATAGAACCCCTTCTCAAGTGTGCCAAATGTGTCCGGTGGGGGGCTGGCTACCAGGTGCAGTGGGAGTTGGGGCTGGCTGCAGATTCCTCACAAATAGTTTTAAGGTGTTTATGGGATTTATGGATTATCTGAACCCCACTTACCTGCAGCTCATAGTGACCATGTGGAATGTCAAGCTCATATATATGCATTTATGTACATGTCAGTTGCACAGGGGGGAAAAAATCTTTATATTGACATCAATGTTTGGACACTCTTATACAAACTTTACTATTATCGTTTAGGTCCGACCTATGCACTTAGGTTGGGTAGAAGTGGTAGAGGGAGATGTTTAGTTTGTCCCCTTTCTCTCTTCCATATGCAACTCAAAAGGACAAGTTTTTGCAAATATCAACACAATAAGAAAAATATCACTAAACATACATGTACTGTACAGAGGGGCACCGTCCCATCCCTAATTCTTATTACCAAAGTATATCATAGAATCAGAGTTGGAAGGGACCCTGAGAATCATCTATCTCTGCAAAGCAGGATTTAATAAATTTAATACAGTGGTACCTTGGTTCTTGAACTTAATCCGGTTCAGAAGTCCATTCGACTCCCGAAATGTTCAAAAACCAAGTTGCGGCTTCAGTTGGCGCAGGTGCCCCGGAAACAATAGCCAACAGCCACACTAGACGTTCAGCTTCTGAAAAACGTTCAAAAACTGGAACACTTCTGGGTTTTTGGAGTTCGGGAGCCAATTTGTTCGTTAACTAAGCCATTCGAGAACCAAGGTTCCACTGTATTTAAATTTTTATTTTAATATTGCCACCCCAGTGATGTTGTTACACTTGCATTTGTTTAGTTTGTGTTCGTGTATAATAAAAATGCAACAATAAAAAAGAAACACCGGCTGTCTGCAGACCTAACTGCCAGGTAAGAGAGTACAATCATCGAGACCAATGACAATTCCCACAAGCCAACCTTTTCTGAGCCAAGGCAAAAGCAGGGCTGCGTCTCCTCAGGAAGAAGTGGAGAAGGTGTGCTAGAATGAAGAAGAATATTCAGTAGCTGGGGGAAATAAATTAGTGTTTTTGTCCCTGAAGAAAGAGCACTTGTTGAAAAATGTGGGCACATTGGCTAGTTTATAAATATCTGGCTTTTTAAAAAAAAGATCATTCAAAAATTCAATAAATGCTTCCTCTTGCACTCATGGATTCACCCCTCAATCGTGTGTGTGTGTGATCTCATGCGGGGCTCCAATCCTACTTTAAGCTAAACACATGCCATAATTAAAATCAATAGTATGAACTGAAGCAACTGCTTCAAGGCTCCCATATGTTGGTAAAATGTGTTGGAAAGAAGAGCTTTTCAGCTGCCCTGTATAAAAGGAACTTGGATGGGCCTCCTGGGTTAGGGAAGTCCACATTTTGCCTGAACATCTGGCTGGTGGCCCTGTGCGCTTGAAGCCTCTTCGTTATCATTTATAGTTGGTACTTGCACCATTTCCAGAGGTTCCTCGGAAACTGGCTTGAAGGCCTGTGGGGGGGAGGAGAACAAAGGAATGCAAAAGCAGAAACGATAAAATTCCCCTTCATAGAAACATGGGAGGCACTTGTGGCTATGTTGGAACACAAATGGTCCGTAAATATATCATTATTGATTTGAACCACTTCTTGAGGCAGTCTTGCTTGAAAACTGGAACAGAAGGGTTTTGAAAATGAACAAACACCCCTCGTGTTGTTACTCCTTTTCTACATGGCTCTTTTTCACAAAGTGCTAGGATGCCTTCCTACCATATTTTGAAAAGAAGCAGTGGTTGGGTCCCTCCTTGCCAGGGGGTAATATCAAGCCAAATTACCTCAGGATTCAGCTGCGTGGCCTCCTCTGCAGTAGGAAAGTCGGAATCTGCAAATCAAAATTTAAAGATTGACAATTATCTACAACAGCTGTGGGTAAGTTTTGGCCTTCCAGGTGTCACTGAACTACAACTCCCATCAGCCCCAGCAAGTATGGCCAAGGGCATGGGATGATGGGAGCTGTAGTTCAGTGGCACTTGAAAGCCCAAAGCTTCCACACACCTGATATGCAGTCAGCCCTCAGCTCTGAGCATCTCCCATCTCCAGTGAAGGGATACAAATACTGGCTGCCTTTGGAGGCTGTTGTCAAGGTTGTTGAGGTAATGTAGGCAGAACGAATTTCAAGGTGCTCTGTAGAGGCTTAGCAATGTAATAAAACATGGCTCTACTGGACTTGTTAAAAAAGCTCTGCATGGATGTTTTTGTACCTGATGATTCAATGATAGATACTGTCCTGCTATGGCTTCCTATGGAGAGAGAGAGAGAGAGAGAGAGAGAGAGAGAGAGAGTATATTCATTTAGTAATACTGAGAATAAATCTTGTGTGTGTGCACAGCAGTATTTTCTGCACAGGGAAGATGAAGTGCAAGATCTAAAAATACTCTATCTATTTTTAAATCCTTGAATAATTTAAGAGAATCAATTTAGTTATTCACCTGCCAGAAAGTTTCATAGCGCGGTGGGCAGAATATTCCTTGAGTGATCACACCAAGGCATTGTGAATTTGCAATGAAGGATGAACTCTCTGACACCAGGTGGCACAGCACAGCATATCTGTCAACCTGATGCCCGCCAGATATTTTTGCTGGCAACTGTTGGCTTCACCCAGTGTGGTTCTTGTGCTAGTTGGGACTAATGGAAGTTGTAGCGTCGAGGAAGCAGAGTTGTAGCACACGCTCATGTCCACCCACCAGGGGGCTCTGTAACTCAAAGGCTCTCCTTCCACCTCCACCCTTCCTAAGGATGGCCATTTTGGCCACAATCACACCAAGAATTCTGGGAGCTGTAGTTTGCTAAGGGCAATGAGAGTTGTTAAGAGACCCCTAGAAGAGGCGGACTTAGGGCAGAGCCTTTGGTGCACCACAGGGGGCTCCACGGCTATGAGCTAGAATGGAAGATGAGAGGCGGAGGGGGGCACCAAATTGTTATGTTGAACAGGGTGTGCGCTGAAATTTCAGACCTGCCCCCCAGGTCCGCTACTGCCCCATGTCCCCTTGTGGAGCTACAATTCCCAGAGTGGTTTAACAACCAATCCCTCTTCTCAGGGAACTCTGAGAATTGCAGATCTGGGAAGAAAATAAGAGGCCTCCTAATGACTCAGCATTTCCGTGCGCTGCTCTGGTTCGCCAGAAGCGGCTTAGTCATGCTGGCCACATGACCCGGAAGCTGTACGCCGGCTCCCTCGGCCAATAAAGCAAGATGAGTGCCGCAACCCCAGAATCGGCCACGACTGGACCTAATGGTCAGGGGTCCCTTTACCTTTACCTTTTACCTAACGACTCTCAGGGCCCTTAACAAACAAATTGACAGGAAGCCATGAAGTTTCTTTGCTAAGCAAATGAAGCACCAAGTCTCACCTCTTCCTCTCTTCCTTCTGTACATGAGGAACAGGATCAGCAATAGGACCAGAACGAGCAAAAGTGGAATTAAGTACTTAGCGTACAAGAATGTTGATGCTCCTTGATTGAGAGTTGAAGGATCTGGAGTAACAGAGTGAATAAGAGTGAATTTCAGATTACATATGGCAACCAAAATTTGCTGGGTGTTGTAAATATCTCCTGATGGACACTGCAATGCCCATCAGCCACCACCAGAATGTCCATATCGCCATGCTGGCTGGGGCTGATGGGAGCTGTGGTCTAAAATGGCCAGCAGGCACCAGGTTGGTGAAGGTATCCCTAAGGTATCCTGGCCACAAACCACTCAAGCTCTTTAAGGAGGGTTTAAGCAGTGGGAGACCACAAGTACCAAGGAATTTCTCCTGTGCATGGCTCATTTAAATGCACGGCTGTTGTACCAATAATGGTCCACCAGTTATTGCTGCTAAGCTGGTTTCTTTTGGACTCTGAACTCTCCCACTTCCTTTGCTCGTAGGCTGTGGCTCAAATGATGCATTTCATGGGATTCCATTGCAGTGGTACCTCGGGTTAAGTACTTAATTCGTTCTGGAGGTCCGTTCTTAACCTGAAGCTGTTCTCAACCTGAAGCACCACTTTAGCTAATGGGGCCTCCTGCTGCTGCCACGCTGCCACCACACGATTTCTGTTCTCATCCTGAAGTAAAGTTCTTAACCCGAGGTACTATTTCTGGGTTAGCGGAGTCTGTAACCTGAAGCGTATGTAACCCGAGGTACCACTGTATTATTTCCTTTTAGACTTTTCTTTAAAGCCGAAGCAGTCCTGAGCAATCGGGGTCTCAGGGCACTTCCAGACTGTCACTGTTTTGAGATGGGAATCGTATACAGTGGAACCTCGGTTTTCGAACGTAATCCGTTCTGGAAGACTGTTCAACTTCTGAAGCATTCGAAAACTGAAAACTCAATACGGAAGCCTCAATACAATAAAGAAACTCAAAACAGAAGCCACCTTGGAAGTTTGACTTCCGAGGCGCATTCGAAAATGGAAGCATTTACTTCTGGGTTTATGGTATTTGGGTTCCAAATGGTTTGTTGACGGAGACGTTCGAAAACCAAGGCTCCACTGTAATGGCAAATTCTGGTTGCACATTTATCGGGAGGCAGAAGAAACCCTTCCCAGCGGAGGAAGGCTGGGTGGGTGGATGGATGGATGGATGGAAGGAAGAGACTGCTTAACCTCGTCCCCGCTGGTCATTTCCCAGGTCAGAATTGCCTCCCCAATCCACTTTTTCATCCGTAGATGAAATACATGAGGAAGCTACAGAAACCCAGAATTGTCGCCTCCACATTGGGAAGGGCCATTTTGAGCTGAAAAAGAAGCAGTGCGAAAGCAGTCTCTATACTTTCTGGTAGCCTGAGCTTGTCTAGGATAATTTTAGGATTTTTAAAATACCACCCTGCTACCCAGAAACAAAATATGGGTTTGTGTTTTGGGACAAGTGGGTTTTGAGGTGCCTGATGTCACTCAGGTGTGAACATTCCATGACATCATGCCCACTAAGCCAATAGTAAGAGATGCAGAGAAGAGTGGCATTCCCTGTAGCCAGGCAAGATATAACCACTAACACTCACATTTTAAGTCTCTTTGGAACAGACTGCCACCCCACCCCACCCCGTTTTACAAGGCAGTGTTGATGTGGGCTTCTGTGCTTCTCCCTTGTGGAAATTCAATATGGCAGCTTGCCTCACCATGGCAGTGATCTCTCAGGGAAACAGTGCTGAAGTTTTGACTCTGCTTGTTGCGCACAGTGCAGGTGTAATCCCAGGTTTGATCTGGGGGCTTCTGAGTGATGTGTAGAGATGGCTCCTCAGAGAGAACCGTCCCCATTTCAGAAGTCGACCAGGCGTAAGTCACGTCCTCTCCTTCCCCTCCAGTTACCACACAGTTCAAGGTGACATTGCAGGTCCCATTCACTGAGTGGATGGTGATGGCTGGCTTCAGCAGCCTTCCTTCGGGAGCGAAAATTAGGAGATTCAGTCACTTTATGTGCTGGACAAAATGTTTTTGAATAACGAATCCATTTCATACTTGGGGCATTGTGGTAAAACTGATATGCTGGAGCAGACCAAATGTCAACATAGGACAGTGGGCAGACAAGAGACTTCATGAAATCCTCTAAACAGCCCATGCACAATGTTTGCTTGGGGCATTGTGGTAAAACTGATATGATGTGCAGGGTATAAATAATAAAATATTGTTATTATGCCCTCAGCACCTGGTAGGCAGGGATAGACTGCCTCCGAAAATGGAGGTTCTGTTTAGCTATCATACCTAATATTTAGTGACTGATAAGACTCTCCTGTAGGATGAGATAGATTATTAGCTTTGTGCTCATCAACTTATAGGCCACATTCACATCATACATTTAAAACACAATGGTAAAGGTAAAGGGACCCCTGACTGTTAGGTCTAGTCACGAACGACTCTGGGGTTGCGGCGCTCATGTCGCTTTATTGGCCGGGGGAGCCGGCGTACAGCTCCCGGGTCATGTGGCCAGCATGACTAAGCTGCTTCTGGCGAACCAGAGCAGCGCACGGAAACGCCGTTTACCTTCCCGCCGGAGTGGTACCTATTTATCTACTTGTACTTTGATGTGCTTTCGAACTGCTATGGTGCCACTCTATAAACAGTCAGAGCTTCCCCCAAATAATTATGGCAACTGTTGTTAAGGGCACTGAGAGTTGTTAGGAGGCCCCTATAAACCTCATGGAGTGACAGTTCCCCCAAGTTCCCTGTGAAGAGGGATTGACTGTGAAACCACACTGCGAATTGTAGCTCTTGGAGGGGAATCGGGGGTCTCCAACACACACATAATCACATCTGGCACTTACTGCCTTGATATTCTGTTTCGCTCTTTACAGTGGGGTCAGGCAGCGTCGTGATGATACCCAAGACTCCATTGGAGGGGTCTGTTCTATTATACGTTGGCCACAACGTGAAGGACTCGTTTTGTTGCTGTGTCGCATTGACAAACTCAGCTTGGAGATGTTTTGTTTGGCCATCTTTGGAGGGATGTTCTGATTCCTCTGCTTGATGAGCTAGATTAAGAAAGGAAGGAATGTTAACGACGGTGATGTCTCAAATATGCCTTCTGATGAAGCAGAATGTTTGTTTGTTTGTTTGTTTCATAAAAATAGAACATTGCTTGATTGCAAACAGACCCAAAACTCTCAGAGTGGTTTACAACAATAATAAAACAAATAAAATTATCAGAAAAAACTGTCCAAAACAACAATAAACACAGAAAAACCAGCAATAAACTAGAAACAGATTTAATAATAATAATAATAATAATAATAATATAAATTATTCATATCCCTGCCCATCTGGCTGGGTTTTCCCAGCCACTCTGGGTGGCTTCCAATAAAATATCAAAAATACATTAAAACATCAGTCATTGAAAACTTCCCTAAACAGTTCCCTAAAAGTCAGGTAGTTGTTTATTTTCTTGACATCTGATGGGAGGGCGTTTCACAGAGCGGGCGCCACTACTGAGAAGGCCCTTTGCCTGGTTCCCTGTAACCTCACATCTCGCAGTGAAGGAACTGCCAGAAGGCCCTCGGAGCTGGACCTCAGTGTCTGGGCTGAACAATGGGGGTGGAGACACTCCTTCAGGTATACTGGGCCAAAGGCATTCAGGGTCAGCACCAACACTTTGAATCGTGCTTGGAAACGTACTGGGAGCCAATGTAGGAGTGTGAGCTCCGACAGTCCAAAGTTAATTGGAAAGCTTTTCCCATTTCCTTCCTCCTTGCAGAGAAATATTTGAGGTCAATTTGGGAGAGTCAAAAAGGCTTCAGGATTGCTCTCCTGTACTATTTCAGACATGTGGTTTATGAACATTTATTCCATGTTTGAGATCTTAGAATTCTTATAACTGGGTCCATAACAACACACAGCATTCCCAAGATGCATTTGGGCAGCGCCCCATATGTTAAACTTCAGCCATGTTTTGCAAGCTGAGAATATGGGAGAGTTTCCATCCGAGTTTATACCAGTGGTAGAAACCAGTCAATCCACCAACCAAATTGCCGGCCGATCATTAAACGAAGTACAAAATATAAAGTAACACAACCTTGGGAGAACCAAATATTAATTATTAAACATGACAAGCTAGAAACTAATAGTCATAGCAGATCTGAGAGCTGTGACAACGTTCAGATATGTTACTGCCTGTTTGGTAATAAATTAATTAGAGTCCTCAAGGAAGATGATCAAAAGGTTCTCTAAGGATTGACCATACTGGATGTGCAGCAAAAATTCTCCTCACCACATGGAGGGATGATACTATCCACTTCAGCTATCCCAGAATGAGGGAGCTGGTTGGCAGTTTGGCCAGCTGCATGGGCTGAGTAGGGATCTAACAAGGGGACTGCCTCCCCCTCCAGAGATGCCAGTTTGCCCCCAAGATTGAGGGGGCCGGGCGCATGTTGTGTGCATGAGACGCCACTCACATCACACATCGTGCACGCGTTACCTCATGTACATTGCATGTGTGCTTAGCGCCTGTGATTCTGGAGGAGCTGGACACTGGAGCTGCAACACTCAACGTGTGTTGAGGGCTGCCTCAAGATTGGGGCCCCCCTTAAAACAAATGTTGAGGGGGCCAAGGTGTCTTTGATCCCCTAGAGTTAGTGCACCGGTCCCCCTCTTTTTCAGGCAAGGAATGCCATCCCCCTCTGGCTGCCCATCCTTGTACAATTCAAGGGGGTGAAGTGACCATTTTCCTAAAGCAACAGTCCCTGCAAAAGTGGGATGGCAAGATCCTTCTCCTGGGTATCCAAGTGGGCAGGATCTCTTTGGTACCCAATACTCTTTTGTTGCAAGAACGCAAGTCAGCTATTTCTGAAAACAATGAGTACTGGGGAGCCCCTGGAACATTAGCTGTGTGAATATTCTCACCTCAATTAAAACTATCTTAATGCAAGGAGGTGGGATTGGCGGGGATTTGCAGAGCGAAAGCTGGCAGCTTTGCCAGCTGGCTCATTAACTTCTCTTTAATGTTCCTGCTTTGAGCAGCACCCCTGGGATCCTGAGGCCACTCGGGGGCCCACATTTCCGTACTTGGAGGGCAACTCTTGTTCTTTGCAAAGCCTCGCCTCTTCTCCATATGCAAAGCAGAGATAACTCAGTACTCCTAAGAGGGCTGCATGGAGAGCATGCAGCTTTCTAAAGCTTCTTTGTTTGAAATTTGTTTGAAATTTCCCTGGAACAAATGCACACACAGAGACCTAAAAGCAGGACATTGTCCTCAGCACTAATACTACAGCGTCAGCGGTCCATTGACCCCATTGCTCTTGAAAAGTTCTTGAGAAGTTCGGATTTGAAAAAAGGAAAAACCAGCAGATTTCTACACATTAGGGTTTGAATGAAGATATGTTTGCAAGTTTGTGAGCCGTATAAGGGTGTTAGAAGATGGCTGGATCAGACGCATCTAGTCCGGCATCCTGTTCTCACAATGGCCTTCCAAATGCCTCTACTGGGAGGTCTGCAAGCAGGATCTGAGCACAAGACCACTTTCTTCTCCCCACTTGCAAATTTCTAGCAAGTGCTTGTTAAGTGTGTGGGGAAGGGGGTCATACTGGAAAACTCGAAATTTGAAGGCAGCTCCCGTTTGGCTCCATCTGCATGTCATGAACCAGCGACAGAGGAGCAATGGGGCTTTGGGTTGCTTCCTTTATTCTTGCACAGATCTCCTCCAGCCTGCATGCCTGGGCTTCTTGCAGCTTGTTGCCATTACAAAACAGCAGTCCCACAAAACCACAAACGTTTCTTGTTGGGATTGTTTGCTGCCTCGTTCCAGGCATATGGAAGAGGCTGATAAGAGGGCATGTTGAAAAACCGCCATCTTAAGTCTTCGGGAAGAGCTACACCTTACATTTAAAGCACGACCAGTGTTTAAAGCACATGGCGTCCACCAAAGAACGTTGGGAACTGTAGATTGCCGGGAATTATAGTTCTGTGAGAAGAGAAACTACAGTTCCCATAATTGTTTGGTGGAAGTCATGTGCTTTAGATGTGCATTGTTAAATGTGCATTAAATGTAACCCTATTTTACCCCCTCCTTTCTTAAATTGTAGCTTATGGCTGAAATGGAATTTAAACAAACAAACAAACAAACAAACAAACAGGGTTTCCTTTTTTTTTTATAAGATATTTATTGAGATTTTCAAAATATTACAAAATAAAAATAAAAAAAGAAAAAAGTACAAAATAAAAATAGTTAAAAACAACTCAATCTTTCCATTACTTATTTTTCATTAGCTTGTTTCCCGGACCTCCTCACGCCTCCCTTTTTTGTATTCCAATTCAGTTTGTTGGTTCAGCAAATCCTTACCCTCTTTGTTTATCCTAGTCTTTAATCTTAAAATATTGTAACATTAAATTTTTACCTATTAATAATCCATTTTTCATATTCCCTTATAGTATTACAGCTGAAAACCACTTAATTTCTATCCAACATCATTCTAACATTCATTAATTTTACAATATTTCTGTAGATAGTCTTTAAATTTCTTCCAATCTTCTTCCACCGACTCTTCTCCCTGGTCTCGGATTCTGCCAGTCATTTCCGCCAATTCCATAAAGTCCTTCATCTGCCATTCTTCCATAGTGGGTAGATCTTGTGTCTTCCAATACTTTGCAATGAGTATTCTTGCTGCTGTTGTGGCATACATAAAAAAAGTTCTGTCCTTCTTTGGCACCAATTGGCCGACTATGCCTAGGAGAAAGGCCTCTGGTTTCTTCAGGAAGGTATATTTAAATACCTTTTTCAATTCATTATATATCATCTCCCAGAAAGCCTTAATCCTTGGGCACGTCCACCAAAGGTGAAAGAATGTACCTTCAGTTTCTTTACATTTCCAACATTTATTATCGGGCAAATGATAAATTTTTGCAAGCTTGACTGGGGTCATGTACCACCTGTATATCATTTTCATATTATTCTCTCTTAAGGCATTGCATGCCATAAACTTCATACCTGTGGTACATAACTGTTCCCAGTCAGCCATCATTATGTTATGTCCAACATCTTGTGCCCATTTAATCATAGCAGATTTCACCGTTTCATCCTGAGTATTCCATTTCAACAGCAAGTTATACATCTTTGACAAAATCTTAGTTTTGGGTTCTAACAGTTCTGTTTCTAATTTTGATTTTTCCACCTGGAAACCAATTTTCTTGTCCAAATTATATGCCTCCATTATCTGATAATAATGAAGCCAGTCTCGCACTTTGTTTTTAAATTTCTCAAAACTCTGCAATTTCAGTCTATCTCCATCTTGTTCCAAAATTTCCCAATATTTCGGCCATTTGGCCTCCATATTGAGCTTTTTCAAAGCTTTCGCTTCCATCGGTGACAGCCACCTTGGGGTTTTATTTTCCAATAAGTCCTTGTATCTTATCCAAACAAACAAACAGGGTTTCCAGAGGAATCTCTGGCCTGAGCAATGGACAATCAAATCAAAATTAGACACACCACATGGCATTTTAAAGGAAAGGTGAGAAAATGTGCAATATTTGAAATATCAGGTTGTGAAGCTGAGTGCTTTTTACACCTTATTTCATTTTTAAGGTGCAAATCTTTAAAAGACAAACAATTAAATTTGCAAGCAGATTCCAGCTGGGAAATTTTGGAGGAATTACCCCCTCCTGCTCAAAGTGATTTTGGTGTTTAATCAACCACTCCCACATGAACAGCTACCCACAAAGCACTTTGCACACTCTCAGAGGGCTACTTGCTCTGGGAATCCAAGTTAGGTTTGCACAACTAAAGTGGACTAAAGTACTCTGTTGCAACAAATCCGCTTTTGTGGGAACCCAAAGCAACTTTAACCAGAAGTGTTGCCATCCAGCTCCCATAAGTGGGAGTTGTCACTTCCATTCTGCTGCAACTTAAAAGAATAATAATAAAAAAATCTGTGCTTGTAGTTGTAACAATCTTAGGTAAACCACTTTGTGAGGTCTGCCTGAAAAGCACCATATAAACATTGTAAGTAAATAATAGGACATATAATCTCTGTGTATGCAAGTCAGGAAGGATGCTCAGATACATAACCTCCCCACCAACCCCAGAATGAGTGCTCATGAGAAAGCAGGCCTTTTCTATCCTTCGTTGAAAGCAAATCAGGATGCACGCTCAGTGAACAGGTCATCACACCGCCCGCCTGTCCCATGACTGCGTTTTCTGGACCTTCTGATTGGACAGCTCCCTCCCTTTGAGAGTCAGTGAACCCAAAGATCCTCCATTGCCTCCACTTCCCTCCACAGCTACCTCCACTTCCCCTCTGATGTGTGGGTGTTGAACCACTGCGCAGTGTATTTCCCAGGATTCTTTGGGGGAAGTGGTATAAGACCCCAAAGTGCTGATCCATGCTAGAAGTCCTCCTGCCGGTCAGATGTTCTTAAACCACCACGACTGTCCCTGTCTCTTCCTGTTCTGCAGCTGAGTGTAGAGACAGAGCTCAGCCGGATAAAAGAATTGGGCTGGTCGCCTTTTGGAAAGCACATGTCCTACAATCCTGTGAAGTTTCTGACTTCGGAACTCACCTGTCAGGGGAAATAGCAGCACAATCCAAAGCCATCCTCCATGGGTCTGCATTGGAGTCTGTTTTCTGCTGCTGATTCTAGAGCAAAACCTTGTGAACAATTTAGAAAGCAGCAGGTTCCTCCTTTTCTATTTCCGCTTCCTCTTAACTAGAGACTTAAAAGAAGAAATGCTGTAGAAATACTACAGATGATGAAGGCAGGCCAGGGATTCACAGGGTGTGGACATTTGTTTTCTTGAACTTTTTTTTAAAAAACGCACACGCCAAAAACAGCCTTCAGGAAGTTTCAGTGGCCATGTAAACACACGAAGCTGCTAACGGGTAATGAGTCAAATAATCACTCCCTCTGTATTGAGAGCCAGTGTGGTGTGATGGTTAGAGTGTCGGACTAGGACTTGGGAGACCAGGGTTCAAATCCCCCACTCAACCACGAAGTTGGGAAGCCAGTCACTGCCTCCCAGCCTTACCTACCTTATAGGGTTGCTGTAGGGATTAAATGAGGAGAGACCTTTCTGTGCCACCTTGAGTTCCTTGGATGAAAGAAGGTAGGCTATAAATTCAATCCATTATTCTACAAGTGATTAATGGGTTGAATTCCTTGTTGTTTAATGGTGAATTTTGGATATAGCAGAGATGTAAAAGATTTGGATTACAGTATTATAAAAGATGCAGGAGGAAATGATTAACAATAGGACCCACAAATGGGAGGAGGGAAGTCCAGGAGATTCTGTGGAATGTTGTCTTTATGTTGTATGTTGGATATGTGATCAGGTGGAGGGAAAGGGTGAAGTTGTCCGTCTCTCATTGGTGGAGGCTGCTTGGAGGAAGAGGAAGAGAAAGAGAAACAAGAAGAGGAGGAGGAAGAGATACTGTACACATGGCTGCATGTAAAGTGAACTCTGGCTTCAGCTGCCTCAACAGAGATCAGTTTTGTTTACCTTTTGTTTTTTGCCTTAGCACAGAACAGGGTCAGGGTTGAAAGCACTGCTGGCAAACTCCACATTGATTTTAATGCTTGGATTTGGTGGGGTCTGCAAAAAAGAAGCAGCAAGGTACAGCCCCCCTGGAGGTGCTAAGTGTCAAAGTCGGTGTAAATATCAGACTTTGAAAAGTTGGTAGCACTAGATCAAGTTCATAAATCTTATTTAATTAATTAAACTAAATAGTTTTAACTGGCTTTTGAATAATTAATGTGCAATTAATTGTTGATGCACCAGAAGAAGTGATTGGTCTGTGCAGAAATTCCCTTTTGCCTTGCCTTGCACCCCTGCCTGCCTGCCTGGTTCAGAACCCAGTTGAAGATTTGATCTTACCCACTGAATTGAAGCTCAGTTAAACAAAAACTCTCTTCAGATAAGATCCGATTCAGTGGATAAGACAGGATTTTCACAAGGCACAGAGCTGCGGGGCAACGAGAAAAGTTATGGGGCCATCATGCTGTCCCAACTTCTAGGCAGCCCTGTTTATGGAAGTTTTTAATGTTTGATGTTTTATTCTGTTTTTAATCTGTTGGGAGCTGCCCAGAGTGGCTGGAGAAACCTAGTCAGATGGGCGGGGTATAGTATTATTATTATTATTATTATTATTATTATTATTATTGGCAACCTAGCAGTTCAAAACCACACTAGTCCAAAATCACACCAGTACAAGTAGATAAATAGGTACCACTGCGGCGGGAAAGTAAAACAGCATTTCCATGCGCTCTAGTTTCCGTCACGGTGTCCACTTACGCCAGAAGCGGTTTAGTCATGCTGGCCACATGACCCGGAAAGCTGTCTGTGGACAAACACCAGCTCCCTTGGCCTGAAGCAAGATTTGTGCCGCATCCTATAGTCATCTTTGACTGGACTTAACCATCCAGGGGTCCTTTACCTTTTACGATCAAAATGTGGGTGAGTCCTTAACTGGTCTCTGGCAAGACAAAAAAACATGCAAATACACCTGACCAGCATCTTTCGGAGCCTGCTCTGTATCCAAAAGGAACATCAGGGGAGAACTGGACCATCATTGCTGAGCTGGGCAAGTCTGTTGATTTCAGTCCCCCCTCCATTTCTCATTTTTCCAGTTTTAAGTTAAGCTCTTCACATTTTCACATCAGTTTATGATTTTTTGAAAATCCACCAACATTTCAGTGCAAAGTTCTGTTAATATACTTTTTTTCTATAATGCATTATTGTATGTTATTTTCACTTTAACATTTCCATTTCTATGAGCACTTTACCCTGGCATATACAATTTTTTGAACATATTACTGGAGAACTGCACTGCAAAACTTAAAGAAGTGCAGATTTTGAAAGATGACTGTTGCTTGGTTCTTGAAAAGTGTGAATTATGCAAGGTTGCCTTTAGAAGCAAACAGAATAAAATTTCTTCCCAATCTGTCCCTTGACATTTGATTGGTAGGCATGGAATGTGAGCAGAGAGCGAAGGGACTGAGAAGGCAGAGATGACTGAACCAGGGAAGGGTAGACAGAACAGCTGAAGAAAAATGGACAAGGAGAAAGGGGGAATAGTTATTTATTTAAAATCGGGCATTCTGTTTTTTCATTGTTGAAGATCTCAAAGTCCTCACAAATCAAAGCATTACAGAAAGTCATTTAACAAGGTAATGTACATGCACACAACATTCAAAATTACCCTAAAGTGCCAAACAAAAATGCACATACCTACAAGAAAATCAATCAAATGCCAATTAATCTGGAAGGGGAGACAAGTGAGTGAGTTCTGTGGATTCCATTGCAGAAGAGGGGTCCTTTCTCATGAAGCTAATCCATCTTTTCTCCAAAGATGGAGGCACTTGAAGCAGGGGCCTCCATAAAAGATCTCTACAATTAACTTGGAAGCAGACAACCTGTCAGGGAAGAGTTAGAAGTTTCCAGTTTCTCAGAGGGAGAAAGCATTCCCCAAGGGGGGAAGGAGAGCAGTGAATCTAATAGGAGAGAGCAACAGGAACAACAGGGAGGGACTGGCTGTTCACAGGAAAGGCAAGGGTTCAGTTCTAGCTCAGATTCGGAGAAGGGGAGATACAAGCCAGCTCTAGCCAGGAGGTTAGAAAAAAGAGCGGGAAAGCGAAAGGAAGGGGCGTTTGACATTTTGAGAGTGGCTGGTCACGGAGAAGCAGAGCTCAGAAGGTATCTGAAATAAGTGACTCTGAGGAATAATAGTTAAGAACCGATTATAAGATTGTTTTGTTAATACACAATAAAAAGTTATAAAAGAACACGAAGCGTTTGTGTGGTGATCTGAAGAGGACAACGGCCAGGCCTGACACAACCCTGCTGTCCTGGGCTGCTGCAGATAACTGGTCCATGTTTCTGCTCAATTCTGACTTCAAATATCCATGTATTTTGACTTCCAGTGCATATTTTCTATTGCAAATAAGGGTCCCAAATAGGCAGCAGATATGGACAGAGACACTGTGACGGCCACCAACTTGGGTGGGTTTAAGAGACAAATTCTAAACCAGCAAAAGTGGGCGGGGATAAGTTTTCTTCCTCTCTCTTAAGATGAGAACCGGCAGGGCATTCAATGAAGTTGAATATTGGAAGGTTCAGGAAAGAAGAAAGAAAGAAAGAAAGAAAGAAAGAAAGAAAGAGAAAACTTCACAGAGCATATAGCCAAATGATGGTACAGTGGTACCTTGGGTTACATATGCTTCAGGTTACAGACTTTGCTAACCCAGAAATAGTACCTTGTGTTAAGAACTTTGCTTCAGGTTGAGAACAGAAATTGTGCTCCGGCGGTGCGGCAACAGCAGGAGGCCCCATTAGCTAAAGTGGTGCTTCAGGTTAAGAACAGTTTCAGGTTAAGAACGGACCTACGGAATGAATTAAGTACTTAACCCGAGGTACCACTGTACTTGTTCCCACAAGAGGTAAGGCTGGCCACCAACTTGGACTGCTTTAGAACGGAATGAGACATTGCATTGGGTGGTGTGAGGCATTTTGCAAACCTCAACAATTAACTGATTGCCGGGGTTTGCAAAACACAGTGCTTTGATTTCAAACCATGTGGGCAAAAGCAGGCCGCTTGACGTAATTGTGAAGACAGGTGATTGACATGGTGCATTTTTTCCTTCTGCTCTGCTTTGGAAGAGCGAGTTTCTACGAGATGCCCCTGGTGGTGGTGCTGCCCTGGTTTGCTGTGATGGCTGGTACCCAGTGGGATGCAGAAGGCAGGAAGCTCAACAGACAATGATAGGTGGAGCCAATTCATTCTAGTTTTGCCCTCCTCCTTAACCCGAGGTACCACTGTATATAAGACCTTAATTTTTTTATTTCCCTCTGGTGGTCCAGTCTCTGCTACTGCTTTGTCCCTTTGGTCCTTGGTCCAGTGGGTTGCTAGAGAATTTTGTCATACTCAGTGGTTTCAGGAGGTCTCGGGTTGTTCACTGTCTCGTAGACTGTCTTGGAGTCCTGGTCCTCACACTGCAAGAGAAAACAAACACATGTCCACAGGCACAGCGCTGTTCAGGAAGTTGCTGCCTATTCTGGAAGATACTGCTGCCTGTTTGCAGAATGAGCACCAATTCAGCAATGCACATCAGAATACCAGCTGAGCCCTGTTGGCCGGAAAAGCCAAGGTGTGTCTGCCTAGTCCAGCAGGCTCTTCCCCATGGTGGTGTCTCCGAAATTGCCAAAAGCACAGCATGAGTAGCTATCCTAAGCTGCTGCCCATCCCCAGCAGCCTAGTGGTGAGAGTGTTGGACTAGGACCTGGGAGACCAGGGTTCAAAGCCCCACTTGACCTTGGGCCAGTTACTTCCTCTTAGCCTAACCTACCTCACAGCGGTGTTAGGGGGATTAAATGAGGAGGGAGAGGAGCGTGTGTGAACCAAATGTGGACACAGCACAGATCTTTGTCCAATCTGATGCCCTGCAGGTGTTTTGGCCAACAACTCCCATCAGCCACAGCCATGGTCCTATCAGTGCCAGCAACATATGGCTGTCCTAGCTCAGGCTTATGGGAGTTGTGGTCCAAAATGTCTAAAGGGCACCAGGTTGGGAAAGTCTGTCGTAGATGGCGAGCTGAGCCTCACAGATTCAGAAGGAGAAAGCTGTGTGTCTGCAAAGGTCAAGAGTTTAATACTGGGATAGTTACAAACCTAAAGGTAAAGGTCCCCTGACAGTTAAGTCCAGTCACAGACAACTCTGGGGTTGTGGCGCTCATCTCACTTTACAGGCCGAGGGAGCTGGCGTTTGTCCGCAGACAGTTTTTCCGGGTCATGTGGCCAGAATGACTAAGCCGCTTCTGGCACAATGGAACACTGAAACCAGAGCAGCCCATGGAAACGCCGTTTACCTTCCTGCCGGAGCGGTACCTATTTATCTACTTGCACTTTTTGGCATGCTTTCGAACTGCAAGATTGGCAGGAGCTGGGACTGAGCAACGGGAGCTCAACCCATCACGGGGATTCGAACCGCTGACCTTCTGATCAGCAAGCCCAAGAGGCTCAGTGGTTTAGACCACAGCGCCACCCACGTCCCTAGTTACAAACCTAGGTTGCATTAAAAAAGAAAGCAGCAGATTGAAAATGATGCAACCTGTGTCGATGGGGTAAGTTGAGAATATACGTGTGGCTTCTCTTGCATTGTGAAAGTTCCTTTTTACCACTTTGCAGAACTTATTGCAGCTTGCTAGTCACAAGGAGGGGCAAAGTGGCTGTGAAATGCACTCACATAGACTATGGGGAATCTTGTCAGGGTCATCTCCTAACCATAGAGAGGCATTTTTCAGACTTCCCCCTTTGCAAGCGTGGGAAGCCAAGGAGCTCATTTCCATTAAAAAAGAAAATGAAAGCTGAGGCTGTTAGGAAAATAAATTTAGCAGCTAAGACCACATTCTGTGCTGTGTTGTGGTGTGACTCCCCCCCATACACACCTGGAGATTCCACTCACATCTTCCCACCCCCACCTTTAACGCAACCACAGATCTTGCAATTTGCTATGCCACCAGCCTTGAGTAACATGTGGCTTTGCAATGGATCCAGCTTCCCCACTCCCCTTTCCATGCTACAACCCATCTCCACTTGCTAAGCAATAGATGCTTAAAAATCCACATGCCTCTTGAGGCTTGGTGATCTCTGAGTAAATTGTTTTCTCACTCTTTTCTCTGGTTCTCCGCATCTTCTCGTCGTCTGTTTGCAAAGGATTCTGGGAAAGAGAAGAAGAAATTTACAGGGTGGTGGTGGTGGTCAAACAGGCCTTGTGGAGCTGGAACATCACTGGAGAAAGCCCAACTATTGATTGCCATGAATCTCAAATCTGTATCCTGCCAAAGAGGGATCAGGTTTCCTAGGGCAGTTGTCTTTAACCTTGAGATAACAGATGTTGTTGGACCACAACTCCCATCACCCCTGACCATCGACTAAGCAGGCTGGGGATAATAGGAGTTGTAGTCCAATAACATCTGGGGACTTAAGGCTGAAGAACTGTGCCCTAGGGTGGTTGTGCAAAGAGATGGACAGCTTCAAAGTACTTAGTATTATCTTAGAGAGGGGCTAACCAACATGGTGTCTTCCAGACATGGTGGGACACAAGTCCCATGAGCCCCAGCCAGCATGGCCAGTCGCCAGGGATTATGGGAGTTGTAGTCCACAGCATCTGGAGAACACCACATTGGCTATCCTCAGCCCGCCTTATAGAATGACAAGGAAGAAGAAGGGATTCAGATTCCTCCTCACTTTAAACACACACGCTGATTCCTGATCTCAAGATGGTAAAAAAAACTGTTTGGAAGAGTTTAGGAGAAGATTCTTATGTAGTTTTGGTAGTTGTTTTTAATAAGCTGTTAAACCAAGCTGACCATAAGAACATAAGACAACCCTGCTGGATCATCTAGTCCAGCAATTTATTCTCACAATGGCCAACCAGATGCCTGCAGGAAACCAGCAAGCAGGACCTAAGCACGAAAGCTCTCTCCCCTCCTGTGTTTTCCAGCAACTGATAGTCAGAAGTGTAACTGCCTCTGACTGTGGAGGCAAAGCAGAGCCATCATGGCAAGTAGCTCTTGATAACCTAGTCCTCCATGAATTTGTCTAATCCTCTTTTTAATCCACCCAAGTTGGCGGCATCACTGGCTCCTGCGGGAGGGAGTTCCACGGTTTCTGTGCTGCATTTAAAAGTGCTTCCTTTCAAAACAAAAATTTATGGAAAAGTGGGATAGACATAAGATATATGTTCAAAAATACAGTAAAGGTTCACTATCTATGCTAGCATTCGATTGGCGTTGGAGAGAGACTGAGTTGAGAAATAAGACCAAGGGTACATATTGATATAGGAATGTATTAGATAAAATGTAAAGAAATATACAATAATAAGAGTACATTCATTTGTAAAAAAGGAGTATACAACGGGATAGACAGGAAGTTCAAAGTGTTGGTACATATATGACTTTGGAAAAGTTTTTTGCCCTTGTTTTTTCTTTTTCTTCTTTCTTTTAGTATATAAACTTTGTATACATGTTGAAAATTATAGTATAATAAGCCTTGTGATGTAATATGATAATGTTTACTGATGTAACATAATAACTTTAATAAATAAATAAAATTCAAAATAAATAAATAAATAAAAATAAAAGTACTTTATTTTTAGTACTTTATTTTGGGAGAAAAGCAATGACAAACCTAGACAGCATCTTAAAAAGTAGAGACATCACCTTGCCAACAAAGGTCCGTATAGTAAAAGCTATGGTTTTCCCAGCAGTGATGCATGGAAGTGAGAGCTGGACCATAAAGAAGGCTGATCACCAAAGAATTGATGCTTTTGAATTATGGTGCTGGAGGAGACTCTTGAGAGTCCCATGGACTGCAAGAAGATCAAACCTATCCGTTCTGAAGGAAATCAGCCCTGAGTGCTCACTGGAAGGACAGATCATGAAGCTGAGGCTCCAATACTTTGGCCACCTCATGAGAAGAGAAGACTCCCTGGAAAAGACCCTGATGTTGGGAAAGATTGAGGGCACAAGGAGAAGAGGACAACAGAGGATGAGATGGTTGGATAGTGTTCTTGAAGCTACCAGCATGAGTTTGACCAAACTGCAGGAGGCAGTGGAAGACAGGAGTGCCTGGCATGCTCTGGTCCATGGGGTCACAAAGAGTCGGACACAACTAAATGACTAAACAACAACAACAACAAAAGTACTTCCTTTTGTCTGCCCCGAATCTTCCAACCTTCAGTGGATGTCTGCGAGTTCTAGCATTATGAGAGAGGGGGGGAAAATGCTTTCCCTAGCCGTTTTCTCCATGCCATGAATAATTTTGCAAATTTCTATCATGTCACCTCTTACTTGCTCTTTCTCTAAACTAAAAAGTCCCATTGCTAATTACTAATAAAATGGTTCGTATTGTTATTAGACCACATTTCTAATGCCAAGAAATTCTAGGCCATTTGCAGAAAGTATGCAGCTTTCAGGGGAACTTTTCAGGGGCAAGACAATTTTTTCAGTGAGTTTTTCATGTAGGACAGGAAGAAAGAGGCCCTTGTGCTTCCTGTACCTTGTGGTTCCTGTACCTTGTGCATCTTTCGGAAAGGCCCTTGGCTCATTTGTAGAATGCTTGCTGGTGCTGTGCACTCAGAAGGCCCCATGTACAATTCTTGACATCACTGGTAGCATTGGGAATATCCTGTGCCTCAGACCCTGGAGAATCATTGCCACTAATTGTAGACAGTACTGAGTTAAATAGACCAATGGTCTGATTTGATATAAGGCAGCTTTCTGAGCCCCTATCTCTGCGCTCTGAATCATCTAATCTGAAATCATAGCAGAGATGAGGCAAAGTCCAGTCCTGTAATCAGGACACGATCCCTCAGTTTTCTGCAGTGCTTGGGATGAATAATAGAATCATAGATTTGTGGAGTTGGAAGGAACCCTGGGGATCTTGCCCAACCACCTGCCAAGCAGGAATCTCAGCTAAAGAATCCATGACAGATGGCCATCCAACCTCTTCTTGTGGTTAAGAGCAGTGGACTCGTAATCTGGTGAACCGGGTTCGATTCCCGGTTCCTCCACATGAAGCTGCTGGGTGACCTTGGGCCAGTCACACTTCTCTGAAGTCTCTCAGCCCCACTCACCTCACAGAGTGTTTGTTGTGGGGCAGGAAGGGAAAGGAGAATGTTAGCCGCTTTGAGACTCCTTCGGGTAGTGATAAAGCGGGATTCAAATCCAAACTCTTCTTCTTCTTCTTAAAAACCTCTAATGAAGGTCCACCACCTTACAAAGTTCCACTGTCAAACGGCTCTTAATGTCAGAAAGTTATTCCTTAGGTTTAGTCAAAATTCCCTTTCTTGTAATTTGAATCCATCGGTTCAGGTCCTCCCCTCTGGAGCAGCAGAAAACAAGCTTGCTCCATCTGTCTTGTGACAGGCCTTCAGATATTTGAGGATGACTGTCACATGTTCTCTGAGTCTGCTCTTTTCCAGGCTAAACATATCCAACTCCCTCAACCGTTCCAGACCCTTGATCATCTTGGTCACCCTCCTTGGCACACATTCCAGCTTGCCAGAACGGGAGACAGGACTACAAGGGTGGCCTGACCAATTTACCCAATTAATTCAAAAAGCTTTGAACTAAAAGCAGTTCCCGCCAGCTAGAACATGAACTAAGTCCATTTTGAGGTAGAACTTTGTACTTGAAGATGAACTAGAAACCGTTCATTTTCTTACTTTTTTTTTAAAAAAAATACTCTTTATATTCTTTTGACCTTTAAGCTCAAAGAATGTTATGGCTGGGGGAAATAAAAGTAACGCTTCACATTCCACTGTGTAGGCGTTTTGATGTTTCCTCAGTCTTAAGCGTATTTTACACTTCACCGCAGATGCTCATAACATTCTGAAAGCTGAAAAGAAATTGCTGAGGAACATTTGAACAAACCGTGAATTGAACTGTGAACTGGACACAAACCAAACCCATTCATTTTGTAACAGGACAACCAGGAACTGGAGTCAGTTCCTTTTGGGACACGTTGTACTTCTACTACAACTAGTTTCTTATTTTAAAATGAATTTTCCAAATTTCCTGTTTTCTGTACCAATATTTTCAGGTCTGAAGCCCCGTTTTTCTAATGTAGATGGATGGTAGCTGCTTCCTACCTGTTTGGGGAGGTGCACTGTGGTGTAGATGGTCTGAGGCACATCCTTTTTCGCCTTTGGTCCTCTCCGCTGTTGGGTTTCCGATGGGGAATTCTGTGAGTGGAAGAGAAAGCCGCAACGTTTACTGGTGCCTGTGACATTGTGGGTTGGAATAAATTTAATTAAGAAGAAGAAGAAGAATAAAGAAGGAGACGAGAGGGATAAGCAGGACATTGTTACGATGGCTTTACCACAACGGGGTAAATTATCCCTAAACTATCCGTATTAACTGTTGTATTTTAAAAAGTCAGACTTTCCCCCCTCCAGTCCGCTAAAGAAGTGGATAGAGCAGCCCAAAGAAGTATGTAATCATTGCTTGTTTGGCCTCTGTGATCCGGGAGGAGCATGCAAGGAATTCTGGGATATAAGCCATGGATGTGGCCAGAAATGAAGCCAAAAGTCACTTATAATTTTTTTTAAAAGGCCATGCAGATGTTTATTGAATTTTGGTGACTAAAATATGGTGTGAATGGAAACTCTCAAGTTATGTGGTCTTTTTTTTTTTTTTTTTGCGCAAAGTGGATGCGAAGATTAAAATCCTCATTTGTGGAGCAAAGTAAAATCAGATACACATCACACGTTTCTGAGCTTTTAAGAAGGTGTTTTTAATTTTTTGATAAAATACCTGTGAAATAGAAACTAACACTTCCCCTACCCACCCCTTAGGAAAGTAAAAATATCTTGAGAGACTGGCTCCACCCACAGTTTCCACTGTTACCCGTTTGTCAGGGTGACTTTTTCAAGAATATGGTATTGATGTAAGCAAATGTGAGAGAATGAGTGTTTCGAAGTCCATGCCTGAGATCTTTCGGAAGCACTGAAGCACCTCCTCACAGGTCTTCAGTCCTCAAGAGACTAACCCAGCAAAAAGGTGTGAACATGTTGCTGGTATTTTAAGCATGATCAACTACTACTGAGTTGTGCTCAGGGCTTATTTGCTTTTGAAACCTTGCCCCCATTTTGTAGTTATCATTTACTACTCATCATATTCACTGTAGGAGGCATGTCCTTTGGTCTGACGACGGGTAGATCACTGCCAGTTTTTTTATACTGTGAGAAGATCACAGTCTATTGGGAGGTGGACGTCCCTGGTCTACAGGATCAACAGTGATGGGCAGGATAGGATGTGGGCACTGATACCTTGGAGAGATGCTGCCAGGCAATGATTGGCCTTCACTGACCTGATGCCTTCCAGATGTTTCGGAACACCAACTCTCAACTGCTCCCATTAGGACATTTGGAAGACACCGTTTGGGAAAGACTGGTGTCTACAAGACTGAGCTCAGTGAACCGAGGGTGCACCTGATCCAGTTCAAAACAATGTGCTCTGATCATCAGAATGCATTACCCTTCAGTGCATTCACACCCATTCTTTTGAACCTGGTACACATGAAGTTACCAACAATCTGCTGGTTTAATTCTGAAATGCTGTGCTTTGAAGCAGTTCTAAAGCCAGTTTCGCTCTCGTTTCAAAAGTGTTTGAGTGGTGAATCCCAGGAGTATAAAGTTGGAACTGTTTTCTGGGGATGGTGGTCCTACATTTCTGGCGTCAGGGGTGGTTGTGTCATGGAGGAGCACCCCACACGACCCACCCACCCACCACCTGCCTACTGCAATCCTACCTGTGTCTGCTCAGAAGAAAGCCCCATGGAATTCGATGGGGCTTACTCACTGGTAGGTAGGACTGAAACAACGGGGAGGAGGAAGACATGCTAAACTCTGCTCACCAGTCTCTGCAAACAAGAATGTGGGGAGGGGGGTGTCGATCTGTCTCCTTTTACTCACTTTGAGAAGAAGCAAAGCTGGGATCTCCAAGCAGGTACAGTGGAACTCATGAGCAGCCCTCCCACAATGGCTATGCTCCACCTCCATGTTCAGAGGCAGCAATGCTTCTGGAAACCAGCTGCTAGCAAACTGCAGGAGGGGAAATTGCTCTTGTGGGTTTCCCACAGTCATCTGTTTGGCCACCGTGAGAACAGGATGCTGGACCAAGTGAGCATCTGGCCAGTGGCTCACCTCTGATGGTGGAGGGAGAGCATAGCCATTGCGGCTAGTAGACATCAATAGCTTCCTCTTCCACAAATTTGTGCAATCCTCTTTTAAAACCAGGCAATGTGTGTGCGTGTGTGCATCAGTCAGAAGAGGGGCTAAGAAAGAGTTTAAGCTGCAGCTCTGTAATGTGTTCACATAGACTTGTCCTCTCTTAAAAAGTAAAGGTAAAGGGACCCCTGACCATTAGGTCCAGTCGTGGCCGACTCTGGGGCTGCGGCGGTCATCTCGCTTTATTGGCCGAGGGAGCCGGCATACAGCTTCCGGGTCATGTGGCCAGCATGACTAAGCCGCTTCTGCTGAACCAGAGCAGCGCACGGAAACGCTGTTTACCTTCCCGCCGGAGCGGTACCTATTTATCTACTTGCACTTTTTGGTGTGCTTCCGAACTGCTAGGTTGGCAGGAGCAGGGACTGAGCAACGGGAGCTCACCCCGTCGTGGGGATTCAAACCGCCAACCTTCTGATCGGCAAGCCTGGGCTCTGTGGTTTAACCCACAGTGCCACCCACGTCCCTTGTCCTCTCTTACTAGGGAGTAAATCTCAAGGTGCTCTTGGCTGCAGCCACAGGAAGATGATCACTAGGGGAGTTGTTGAGGTGAAACATGGACAGACAGTAGGCCAGTGGAAACACATTAAACCATGATGCTGTGTACCAGGATTTGCAAAATCAAATGGAAATGCTGACAGGAAAAACAGCCTTGCTTATATTTTAACCCTCTAACGTGTACATACCACTTGAGTGGAAAATCCCTCCGTGGCTCAGTTGGCTCAATGGAACTTACCTGGGGAATGTTTTCAATTTGAGAATAAACAGTGTGGCACTCTTTGGATTCTGCAAAGAGAAATCATGTATGTTAACTGAATGGGCCTCCACCCCATTCAGATATGCTTTAATTATGATTCTTCTTATAGCCCTTCCAAGGAGCTCACAAATTCTAATTACTACAGTAATTGTCTAGTCTCTAGGCAGATAGGTCTCTCTTTCTGGCCACCTTTGTTGTTTGGTCTTGCAAATGAAAGAGGATAGATCTGCCCAAGAGAAAGTCATTTTCTTTTATTTTCTCTGTATTTCTGGAGGACTTTCATCAGTGAATTTGGAGTTGTCAGCTCAGGCACTGGCTATTGATTAATGTGTTGATAATCCATTAGAAAATGTATCTTAAGATTTAGTTTTTAAAATGCTATTAAACGCCAGGAAACAGGAGCACAGGAGAAACACCAAGAAGCAGATTAGTTCTTGCAAATAAGAAAAATTGAAAAAATGTTAAATGTAAGCAGAAAGAGCCAATCAATAAGCTTTGCAGTTTAATCATATATATTTTTATTTCACACACACAATCATAAAACAGCGAAGGAACATAAATGCGAAATCCTCCATAGGAGATTGTTTATGTTGCAGATGTAAACCAGTTTAAAATCCTCCATCACTGTTATGGACATAAACCAAGGAATCCTGGGAACGGTAGTTTCGTTGAATGGTCAGGCACCTTTCATAAAAAGGCCTCAGCAAATCTAACTACAGGTCCCAGGGTCCTTTCAATGAATCCAAAATCATTTAAATCAACTTTAAATTTGTGGTAGAGAGAGAAAAGGTATTTTGTTCTAGAACCTACAAACCTGTCTGCAGCAATCTGTTGCTTCTTGTCAAGAAAAACAAGAGAAAAGAGCAATCATTTCCAGAATACTAGTTTTAGGGTGTTTATACTGTACAAAATTCACAGCTTTCAGTCAAAAAGCCTGGCAGCAATGGACTTTCTCTGGGTTTTCCCTCTATAAAGTTCACATTCTTCATAAAAATGCATTATTTACATCACTGCAAAGATTGTTCACTTTTACTATAGATCTGAGTGTCTAGTCTTTTCTTCTTACTGAAGTTTCTGTACATTCCAAATTAATGTTCACTTTTGTTAATCAAGCGTTTTGTATTGCCATTTGTTTTAATTTCTGCCTTTGCTCTGTATTCACACTTTCTACTTCTCTCCCCCCGCCCCCGTTTCCTTGAGAGCATCTGCCTCCATTGGTCCCATTAACCCATACTTGGATTCTGTTCCTGGAAGGCAGACACTGTATTTTCATCTCTACATGTGTTTTACCAAGAGGAGGGCAAAATTGTTCCAGGTCTCATTTTAAGGCAATGGAGGAACTCTCGCAGGCACCTACTGGACAACACCTGTAGCATCACAAATAGCAAGTCATGTGGGTTGCATCCAATATTAGCCATACTCAGTGTAAACCTATTCAAATTAAGGGACCTAAGTTACTCATGCCCATTAATTTTTATGGGCCTACTCTAAGTAGAACTTAGTTGGATATCACCCACCTTGCTTGCACGATGTTTGGTTTAAAAAGACTTCTTTTACTTGTACTTTACTTTTAGTATTAGTCCTTTCTAAGCAGAGCACTTCTTCATTTATCATCATCATTATTAAAATTTCTACTGCATAGGATGGCAAACCACAAAGTAGCAAAACAATACAATTGACAATAAAATAAAAACCTATTTAAATCATTTAAAAAACACTAATAAGATTTAAAAAAACATTTTAAAACACATAAGCACTCATGACATATCACCTTTCCAGGTAAAAAAATACCCAAACATTTCTCTAGAAATTAAGTACGTAGGTAATTTTTTTCTCTTTCTTTCCTCTCCTTCACATCCCAGAGCCCTGAAGCACACATACTCAGGAGTCACTGTGTGAGAGGAATGCAAGTATGGATTCTCCCCATTGTACATTCTCAACATATGAACTGAATTGTAGAGTTGGAAGGGGCCATTTGGGCCACCCCTAACGGTCCAACCTCCTGCATTGCAGGAATCCTTTGCTCAATGTGGGATTCAAACTCACAACCCTGAGATTAAGAGTCTCATGCTCTACCAACTGAGCCATCCCAGGAATGACCAAAAACAACTAAGAAGAACATTGGAGAATGGGGACTGAACCTGCAACCTTGGCGTTATCAGCACCATGCTCTAGCCAACTGAGCTATCCAGTTGATGGCAAAAGACAAGAGGGAGTCAGTTGCCAAGTGTGAAATTCTGTCAGTTTCCAGTTTTCCCTTGTCAGTTCTAATGAGAGGCAAAGAGCCTTCAGCTAATGTGTAAGAGGCCAGGAAGCTTGTGTTTGTGTGTGTGCTGAGTGGTGATCCTGGCCCAAGGAGAGTATAAGACCCTCTCGGATGGGGCATAACTGGGCAGATTAGGGAACAGAGCTGTCATCTGATTAAAGGACTCTTTAGTTGATTAATCATGTTAGTTGCTTATTGTCAAGAAAAACAAAAGAGCAATCACTTCCAGAATAGTGGTTAGTTGATTAATCAAATGAGGTTTCATTAAATCTGCAAATAAATAGAACACTACTGAAAGCGGGTAAAGCCCTTGCCATTAGAGGATGCACACACACGTCTCAAAAGTGTTGCCACCTTAGCAGAGGCCTTCCCATGTGTGCAGGGAGAGAGGGAAGGCAAGAGGGGATGCCAATTCTAAGGTGTTCTTGTACAGCGTTGGTTCAAAATTATCAGATATCCAATTAATTTAGGGCACTTCTGAAGCTGACCCGTAGACTTTTTAAACTGGTTAATCTAACCGATTAATTGGCAAAATGCTGCAGCCTGAATAAGGAGGGCTGGTGGTCAGCGGACAGTGTAGTCACACACCAGCCAGGACCCACAGCAGAGATAAGTGTCACACTCCACTTCGAGGAAGAAATGGGTGATTCCCTCAGAAACCCAGTGAAAGCATAGGTACTGGGCAGGGAGCCGCGGAGGGAAGGAGCAGAGCACCAGCTGTTGCATTTTAACATGGTTGTTGCCATTAACAATAATTTTTTTCCCATCTTCTCCTCACAACAACCCTGTGAGGTAGGTTAGCTGAAAGATACCGAATGGCGCAAAGTGAGCAGAGGGGTGATTTGAACCTGGTTTCCCTAGCCCTAGTTCAACACTGTGACTGGCAGGTTTAACAGGAGCCCAAGAGAGTCACACTCAGCTCCTGCCAGTGGGACGGCAAAAGGAGAAGGGGGTGCGTGATGTGAGGGAGCAAGGGAGCACCAAGCCAGACAGGGAAGGTGGCAGCGGGGTGGTGGGGACATCCTGTTTCAAACAGTGTGCAGAAACTCGTAGCCAGCTCTGGGGAAAGGCTGGAGGGGTGCATGTGTGTGCAGAGGGCCCTTCGCCTCACTCAGGGATCTGTAGCTCCACCTGCCAAGTAATTAGGAGACATATTTCAACCTGGGATTGAAAGTCTACTTCGCTGATCATCACATCTATTAATTGTTCGCTGCTCAAAGCCAAAAAGTGTGCTTCGAACTGTCCCACTTGATAGAAACGAGAGCAAGTTTAAACGGACTGGCTGAAGTGTGCAGAGACCAGTTGCAAAAACCTGCTGCACCACTCCTCCACAATTATTCTAGGAACCTAAGAAGCTGGCTGCTGGATCAGGCCAAAGGCCCGTCTAATCCAACATCCTGTTCTCACAGTGGCCAACCAGATGCACATTATGGGAAGCCCGTGAGCAAGCCATGGGTGCAACAGCCCTCTGCCTACTTCCGACCCTCAGCAACGGGGATTCAGAGACAGGCTGCCTCCAGGAATTTGCTTAATCCCCTCGTAGTAGCCACTAGCCCAGTGAAGGACATGAATCAATTAGGCATTTTGCGGCAAAGTACTATCCTTTGTCTGCCTGTCCTGAATCTTCTGCAAATCTATTTCACATGGGATGACTACAAATTCTAAAATCATGAGAAGAGGAATTGCCCACTTTTCCTATAGGGGTCGGATGGGCACTGTCAAAGCAAGAAGGGGCGGCTGTTTTACCTGACTGACGTGCAGAATCCAGCTGTTTCCTGTGGGAACCTTTGGAAAGGGAAAAAAAAACAAAGTGAAAAAGGGGAAGTGAGCAGAACAAAAGCAGGCACAGATGTCTTAATGCTGATCTCCCCTCCCTTCAGCAATTTGCTGCAGGGCTGTTTTTCATGCAGGAGCCTGTGGAATAGCCACTAGTGCCAAGTAGCACTGAGCTTTGTACAACTATCCCTTTGTTGGTAAGTGATGCCAATTGACCAAGGTGAAAGAAAATCCTGCTTGGTCTGCTATCGTATGTTGGACACAGATACCAGCCAGTAAAGCTGTTCACTATCTGCAGAGCAAGGAGATGCAACGGGGAGAGGAGCAAGGTCTGGTAAAAAGAGCTGGCAACCCTAGCGGGGACAGCACTTTCACACTTAGGCAGGAAAGGAGAGGAAGACCTTCCCCGTCCCCCCTGGGGCTGTGCCACCCACAAATCCAAGCGGGACTTCGCTGATTCCCCTAGTCAGACTGCATATGGCTCAATGGGGTCAGCAGGTGGATTGAGATGTATAGAACCAGTTCAAATGTGTGCTTGTAAAAGGAAGGAAGGTACTTTTTAATCATACGTGGTGGTCATGAGGGGTGGTAAAAGCTTTCTAGGAAATGATATATAATGAACTGGGGGGGAAATGTTTAAGATAACCTTTGTTAAAAAAAACCAGAGGCTTTTCTGTTAGGAATCATAGGTGTGGAACTACCAAAAGAAAAGATTGTTTATGTATGCAACAACAGCAGCAAGGATGCTCTCAGCCCAGAGATGGAAAGAAGAAAAAGTACCAAGTGGCAGACCAAGCTGGTGGAATATGCCGAAATGGCAAGATTGATGGGAAAAATCAGAAACCAGGAAGACCAAATATTTGTGAAAGACTGGAATAACTTTTTAACATATTGAGAGACCACTGCAAACAGTTGAAATCATTGGCAGGAATTACAATGACACTTGTAAAGTAACAAGAATTTTGGATGCTATGGATATTTAATAGATGCAGGAAAAAAATTTAGAAATGGAACCCAGGGAGGGAGGAGGGAGGTCTGAAGGTTCGAGAGAACCTTTTCTTTTTGTTTCTTTTTTCTTTTTGAATTGTTATGCTTGCTAATTTCTATGTAAAACTAATAAAAATATTGCATATATATAAAAAGAGACTAGCCCAATGGATGGCTGATGGGTGTCAACTGCTCTGGGCCGTGATCAAGAGTGGCCTCTCTCAGGGCTACGTCTCCGAGTGGTTTAACAATCAATCCTTCTTCCCAGAGAACTGTATCTCTGTGAGGGCTAGATGACCAACTCTACAATTCTATGATTCTCTTGGTTTAGATAAGTTAACTTTTTCAACAGGGAATTTTAAAGCGGTTCAGATAGTTGTGTGAAACCCCTTACCTCTTTTCTTCATCATCCACACAAAAAGACCAGCGCAGATGATTAGAACTACCACTGCAAGGATAGACCATATGACCTTAGAGGTGCTGCCAGTAGGTTTGTCTTCTTAAACAAACAAACAAACAAACAAACAAAATAATTTAGTAATTCCAGTAGTAATGATAGAATCGCGAAAACATTGCGGAAGCTAAGTCACAAGGGCTTTGCTAAGCCTACTTAAATTGCATAACTTTTTTTCTGAATAAACCTATTCTTATGTCAGCAACTCATTCACTATAATATCTGATCTTTAGCGTATGCTTAAAAAAAATTAAAGAACACCCCCACTACCTCTGATTTAGGCTGATAAGGGAATGTGGCAGATGAAATTAGATGGAGGACAAGCAGTGCTTTTTTTCTTAAAAAAATGTTTAGGGTGCTCTCATTTTCCTACTCATATTGAAATACTGCCCCTCAATGAGGCCAAACTTAGATTCACAAAATGTTTAGGAGTATGCGCACCCCTGCATCTCCCCAGAAAAAAAGCACTGAGTAAAAGTAAATAACTGCCATACAAAGAAGGAAAACTTCTGCTAAAAAATCTGCTGTGACACCTCAAACCTTTGACAGCACCTTTGGATTATAGCCCAGCACCCCCAGTCTACAAAGGGCCCACCCTTGGGCATAAGGTGCCATTTTGCAAAGGTGGCAACATTTTTTTTAATTGGAAGTCTTAAAAAAAATTTTTTTTAAAGTATTATTGTACTATAGAGTACACATAATGACATTTAATACATAAAATAACACAGCTGTGGAAGAAGAAAATAACATCCATTGTGAAGGGAGAAATTGCCTTTGCTTTTAAATGCTTCATGACACACAAAAGCTTGGCAGGTGAACCTGCCCAGGTACAGTTGAATCTGTTGATTATGGTTTCTCTCAATTTCTTCTTTTTCCAATCTTTTGTTTTGCCCCATAGCAATAATTTTAAAAAGTGCAGTGCATAAGCATTTGTGTACATTTTAGGGCACATCAGTCCTATTATATGTATTTTTGTACACAATTTGGCCCAGTATACACATTTTTGTCTTGTTATGGAATAATACCCTGGGTCCCTTACAAACCTGTGATCATGTGTATGGGAGGCTAGAATCTATAGGTGGAACCTTGCTGAAACCTGTCAGGCCAGTTCATTTGCATCTTTAAAAAGTGAGCTCTGTTGCCATAGAGACAAATGGGTGGGCTTTTCCCCACTGTACCTGAATGCCAGATCATCCTAGGATGGAGAACGATAGAGTAAGGGGGCTGTGTTTGGGAGAGTTGTGTGTGTGAGTTGTGATGGTATCGAGAGACATGTTTTGCTCTGTGTTGGACTTTGGGGGTCCCCTGAAGCCCTAATGCATAGCTGTCAACATTTCCCTTTTTTCAAATAGGATTCCTCGCAAGAAAAGGGAAAAGTTGACAGCTATGCCCTAATGAGGAAGCAAGATCTGTTGTGGGGTTAATGCTGTAAGCCACTCTTGCCTATGCTCAGGTTGTATAGATGTGTAAATAGATACCACTTCTCGCATTTGTAGCAGGCTTTCTGGTGGTATGGAATGCCCACTGACATCGCCTGCTAACCTTGCAAGCACACAGAGGAAGAAGGTCCATGGATCATCTTTCTCTAGGCATGCAGGGTAAGGAATAGGCACAAAGAACATACTGCAAATGGTTTGGGGGCATGCAACAGATTCTGCTAGGGCAACACTGCACATGATGTTAAATGTGCTATCCTATTGTTATACGTTGGGAAGAGTCAGTCTGAACGAGATCCACAAGTCCCTTCCAAACCTGTGATCTCACGATTGTCAGATTAAAATCTATAAGGCAAAACCTGGTGAACTGGTCTGGCTACTTCCTTTGTTAATGGAATGGCTTTGCCTGGTGAATTAAGTACTGCCATTTACATGTTCAAAGAGGGTGCCATAGAGATGATTGGGTCAGAATCCATGTCATCCTAAGGATGGAGAACAGCAGGCCAAGGGAGGCTGTGTATGCAAGAGTGAGAGAGAATGGTTGGCTGATGCTGGAAGCTGGAGACACAGGCATGTCTGTTCTGTGCGGGACCCAAAGTTCTGCTTTGGGGCTTTGCTGGAATCCTAATGGGAAAGCAAGACCTTTTGGGGGTGTTGATGCTGTGAGTCCTTACATCCTATGCTGAAGTTGCATATATGTGTAAATAAAATAATATATCCCAAAGACACCATGGTTTCCACTGACCTTCATTCCAAGGAAACCAAAGCCTGGGTAAGCACAGGAACCCCTGCTTGAAGACTGGGGTGTGTGCAACAGCATTTAATGTAGCATAATAGAGTCTCAGGGGAAACTGGAGATTGAAGGGGGGCAATTTGGTGGCGGCAGGTAAGAGTTAATGCTCCCTCCTTTTTAACTAGGTTAGGAGAAGGCTCTTGTCTTGCTCGGCCAATGGACACCCTCTTCCTGGTAGTAGTGGTGGTATAGAGAACCCATGTGGTATAAGTCACAGAGATTAAGAAGAATTACAATTTGGGAGGGTGGGGGATGCAACAAGGGACAGAGGGTGGGCACAGAGCTAACCAATCTCCATGGAGGCCACCATCTTGCTGGGTTCACAGTGAGAAGCAGAGGGGCTCAGAGTGAGCAACAAGCAACAGGTGGAACCAATGAGAAGTCAATGGCAAAGAATGTTGACTAATTGGACTGAGGGGGGGAAATGGCAACTGGGTGGGAGGGGGAATGGAATGGAGAACATGTGGAAAAAGAAGGGAAAGAACGAGACACATAGATACTAGAAAGGACAGAATGAATCATCTCATTGTCTGGATAGGCCATTTCTTGGTTCATGCTACTAAGTTATTTCTAACTGCATCCCCAGGGATGGAAGTGAGCGCTCCCCATAGAAACAAATGGAGAAATCCTAGAATCTGTTATGCACCCCTGCAATGTAGTTCATACTTAACAGTACAAGTGAGAGTGTTAGAGGTTTGCAACAACCTTAATATATCACGTAATATATTTTAAATCTCCTTGGGACTTTTAAACAACTAGCATTAAATAATTAAAAAAACCCTAGCCTCTTGCTGTGTAATCTTTCATTCTGTAAATGGAGCTACACTGGTATGTGGGTGATTCCCCATACCTGTTTTGGATGGGACTGCACGCCCCCTGAAGGACCAGGCATTTCGGGGGGGGGTTGGGAGGGGCTCCAGGATATCGCTTTGCCAGTAAAGTCATAAGTAGCCTCATTGGCACAGGGTCCCTATTTCCAGCTACAGAGGTTACTGGACTGGGATAGGCTGGTCACAGTAGCCCATTCACTGTTAACCTAACAGGGAGATTACTATAATGCAGTCAATATATTTATACAGACATAATGGTAGTATAGGGACGTGGGTGGCGCTGTGGGTTAAACCACAGAGCCTAGGACTTGCCGATCAGAATGTTGGCGGTTCAAATCCCCGCAACAGGGTGAGCTCCCGTTGCTCGGTCCCTGCTCCTGCCAACCTAGCAGTTCGAAAGCACGTCAAAGTGCAAATAGATAAATAGGTACCACTCCAGCGGGAAGGTAAATGGCATTTCCGTGTGCTGCTCTGGTTTGCCAGAAGTAGCTTAGTCATGCTGGCTCCCTCGGCCAATAAAGCGAGATGAGCACCGCAACCCCAGAGTCGGTCACGACTGGACCTAATGGTCAGGGGTCCCTTTACCTTTAATGGTAGTATAACAAATACCAGTGATGTAAGCGAGAGAGAGAGAAAGGAGATCAGCTAATCCAACTTCAGATTAAACCCAGAGTCTCTGAAACAATTCACAGCTATAAATCTAACATCCTTGCTCTAATCTGGTTTGGCTCCACTTTTACTACAAAACCATTGTCTCACTCAAATGAAATCGAACCATTTCTACTGGGGCATCCCTGCTTCCATTTTTCAACAAGCATTTCAAAAATCTCTCTCAGGTTGTTGTATAATGGGGCAAATTAACTAATAATGGATAATATCGGATATTGTACTCTACATGGAACTTCCCTTGAAGCCCTGTCTTTCTCCAGGGTTCAGCCCTCCTCAGCAGAGCATGTGAGGTGGGGGGAGGGAGAAGTATCTTATCTTTGGTGCCCACACACCCCTTATGCAAAGATATTTGCTTTGCTAATATCCTGCTGGAGGACTGTGACCTCAGATGTTTGGGGGTACCAGGTTTGGGAAACCTGCAGGCTAGCTTATCTTTAACCTCTTCTCATATGACTCTTCTCTGCAACCCCCTCCCCAGAACACACCTGGCCCAGCTGTTTGGGCGATGCCAGAATTAGCTTCATAGTATAGCGCAGCGCCTGAGCTCTAAGCTTTATCAGAGATGTCCACACATCTCCTGTGCCTGCTGTTTCCTGAGCATATTAAGGCAGACCAGTTGGCTGCATTTGAAAGATAATATTCTCGGATGCAGTTTTTTGTTTCTTGTACAAGCATTTAACTGTATCCCCCCCATCCCCACACCTAAAATAACGAACAACGGACATGCACACACAAAGCACTCCAACACAATGGCTATGCATAAAGGCACAGAAAAGCTAACTATATTGTTCATTACAGTTTATCCCATCACATTACAGTATGCCACCTGGCATGACACAAAAGATTCCATGTAAATGTCATCTTGAGGAAGGCATTTATCCATGACCACAAGTTACATTGGCTAGAGATTCTAACTCCTGGCCCCTGTCCTGTATCTAACAACATGTGGTTGAATTGGCTCACTTGGGGATATTTGTACCCTCTTTCCCGCTCTGGGGACTGACCCCCTTGAGACAGAGGGCAGCACAAGACTTTCCGAAGATTTAAGTGAAGGGGCACAAACAACAAAGAACAGGGAGTGGAGCTCACCAGTCTGCCGGGGGGGCAACATCCCAGGTGTCGTCTCTTGGTGCTCTGCACGAGCCGATGGGACAGGGAGCGAGTGCGAGAGAGCAGATTGGAAAGAGAGATCAGGCAAATTGGCAAAGATCTGGAAAAAGAGTTCTGTGCATCTTGCACCGGAAAACTGCCTTTGGAAGGAACGTTACTGTTCCATTGAAGTGTCTGTGTTGCTTAGTTAGGATATGCTGATCAGCAATTTGAGCTCTTGGGATTTCTGCTAGGGCCTTAGAGAATGCCTGACCTCCTCCAATGCAATAAAAGCCATAAAATGTTGGGGGGGTTTCGTTTCTGACTACAAGTCAGCCTAAAGCCTAGACCTAACCCAGTCTCAGGGTCCTGAGAGGATGAACCAGGCAGGACCTCCTGGAATCAGTGTGAAGAGCAGGGAGTTGTCAAAATGTACAGGCAGCCCTCAGCCCTTGAAAACATTGGTGCCAAAAAAATGCAGGCTTAAGAGCATTGGTGTAACAGGTTTCTACAGACCCAGAGTTGTTGTGTAGCTTGCAAATATGGGGTCTACACATAAGTAAGCCTCTACACAGATTCACACAGTCCTTCCCTGTCCTTCATCTAGGCAAGCAAGGCCACATTCACACCATACATATAAAGCACACAATAGCCATGGCTTCCCCTAAAGCATTCTGGGAGCTGCATTTCAATGAGGGCACTGAGAGCTGTGGGGAAGGCCCTTATTCCTCTCACAGAGCTACGCTTTTGTGTGGTGGTTTAAGTGCCAATCCCTCTTCATGGGGAACTGTGGGAATTGTAGCTCTGGGAGAGGAATTGGGGCCTCCTAACAACCCTCAGCTCCCTTCACAAACAAAAGCTCCCAGAATGCTTGGGGGCAGGCGGGCAGGAAGCCATGACTGTTTAAGGTGGCATGGTGTGAATGTGGCCCAAGAAGCACAATTGAAGGGCACGTTTCAGTCCCTCGAGGACAATGCAAAGCAGGGCTAGCAAAGGATGTGGCCTGGGGAAGAAGGGGTGTTTGGGTGGTTTTGTGTGGGGAGGTTCCTAAGGGCTTGGTAGAGAGGCTTGTGTCTGCACCTGGCCCCCAGGCCTGAAAGGGCCCATATTAGGTGAACATCCTGTGTCGCATTGGCTGCATTATTTCCATTTGCAGGTGGAGGGTCGCAGCGTTCGCAGCTCCTCTGTTACTTAAGAAAATAAGCCCCCTAATCGTATTCACTAGCCTGTCGAGTAGAGCCGTCATAGCCAAGCTTCTGTTTGTGGGAAGGGGCCTTTATAAAGGGGTATGCATGAATCATGCGTAAACCCCCCACCCTCCATTGCAGGTAGCACAGATATAACATCCGCTCACAGGAAGTAGCTAGCTAGTGAGTTCCTCGCTCACTCACTTGCTCTTGCATGCATGACACATACACACACAAATTTGTGTGAGCGTGACTGTAAAACACCCACACTTCCTTTTTCAGCGTAATCGCCTTGCTTGGTTTAGCTGAGCTACTTGAGTCTTAGATGAGCCTGTTTCTGCTTTATCGAACCCTGGCTGCTCCCACTGCCTAGGCCCCAAGGCAACCCAACAGGTGGAATGGTGGTTTAAATTAGGATCTGCCCCCTTTTTGCCCTGATGCAGCTGAATCTCACTCACTCACAAGCTACACCACACACTTATATTCCTGTAGAGCTCTTGAGTGTTCCGTTCTCTTTACTCTGGTATTTTACAGACATTTCATGGGTGGGTGTGAGGTGGTTTCTCTAACTATTTGGCTGTCAATTTGCTAGGTTTTCTTGTAGTGAGGACATATTACTCCCTAATCCGTGCTTAGTGAGAGAGGCTTTATCCTCCATCTTTACCTTTGGCAGGGGGAGGGAAGCTTTGTGGGAAATTTGGTATCCCCCATGAGCAGTGGACTCCCATTTGTTAGAGGCTTTGAAACAGAGGCTGGATCAGTACCTATTACAGCTTTGCCACAGTGCACCAGTGTCCTGCACCAACAGGAATTGAACCAAATGGTATTCTGTGATTCTACAAATGAAATAACTCCAAATGATTCCCCATATGGAGATTCTTACCATTTATTCCTTTCATTTTTTTTAAAGCAAGTTTTTAGTCCTTAATGTTATATGTGTGGGCAAAGGCCTGGTGAAATTTAAGGAGACTAGTTAAGATTTCTTGTGATCAGTGGGGGAACCATTGCCCCATCCATGATTAGAAAAAGCTAAATGAATTATGCAAATGCTAGCACTGCAATACAATATTTTTGTCATTGTCATGTTGCATACCAGTTGCAGAATTATTGTTGCTGTGGGGTTTCTGTTTATAAGCTAAAACAGCCAAATCCCTTCAAGGCTGAAATGTTTCACAATGGAGGTTTTGCTACCTTCCCTGTGTCCTCAGTCCTCCCAGCTGGGTCACCTTCGAACAGGTTTGTAAAACTAAGCGTGACTCTACATAGAAAAAGAATGGAGAGCTGTCTTTCTAGGCCTCTTTTAAATAGATAAAAAGTTTACCACTGCAAATTTCTTGTTGGTACATCTCAACATTTCTAATTCCGCAAAACCAGTTGGGAACTTTGCTACATTTTCTTAGTCTTTGCCCCCATCAGACTTGCCCTTGCCCCGCTGCTTTCTCCTGAGGAAACTTTATCTTTATTAATGAATTATAGCAACCACCAATCAGATTTTCTCCAGATTAACATTTGCTCCAATTTATTGCTAAAGAGTAGGGTTTCCAGCTGATAGCAGCTGGGTAAGGGCAAAACTGGACGCGTGCCTAGACTGCATGGGAGAAGTGGAAAACAGCTCTGATCCCTATTTCTAGGCAGAGGACAAGCACAGGTCTGGATCAGCATGTCATTAACAAAAGGATTGCAAGACTAGCTTAAATAGAGGCATAATTCTGCCAAGAGAAAAATGAAGAGCAAATCTTACCACTGCAAATTTTCAGGAAATACACTGTCTTGGATGCATTGCTAACAGGGTTCTCTACATTGCAAGTGAAGTTCAAATCATTGCTTTCTAAACTGTGCCTGGTGACAAGAGATCTCCCGGTGGAGTCACTCATGCTGGCTGGGGCCCAGCTGAACGTCGCATCATCTTCCCAGCTGCCTGCAGAGCAGTTCAGCTGCAGAGTTCCATTCCCACCACGATAACCTTTTCGGTCACAGACTATCTCCAGGTCAGCCTCCAATAAACGCTCTGAACAGGAAGGAAAGAGACATGGTATACAAAAGGGCAATAATTAGCAGAAATGGCAAATAAGGCAGTTGCAAATAAATGGAAAGGGAAGAGAAAACTGCAGCAAAAGCATAAGATTATTTATTTATTTATTTATTTATTTATTTATTTATTTAGAACGGACATAAGCAACAAAATGTAAGAGATTATTTCCTTCCCTACAGACCCCCTTGGATGTGAAGATCAGCAGAGGTGACCTTATCTGTACTTCCATTTCCCTCAAACATTTGGGGGGGGGGGTGGCCCAGGATGGGGCGTTCTCTGTGCTGGACCCTGAGCTATGGAATTCTCTCCCTGCCTGGCACCTTCATTATATAGTCTTTCTATCATATGCTCAACACACCCCTCTTTACCTTTGCCTCTGACACCTCATGTGTATTTCAGGCCGTCCTAATCTGCTACATTTAAATTGTTTTACAGTACTTTAATACCTTGTAATCTTTCCTGGGGCCTTATGGTAATGGCAGGAAATAAATGCAATATAATATGCCTGGCAGAGTGGAAATTCTATGCCAAAATACCCCACACTGTGGTTTTCATCCCTTGTTGTGGAAAGAGGTGAAAGTGGTGTGATGGAGCCATTCTAGCTCTTGTGGGGTGCACCATCACCTCAAAAACCAGTTAGGCCACAGCTGATAATGAGACATAATCTTGAGATCTTAGTAATGGGGATGGGCCCTGGTGGGGTTTTTTGTGGGAGGTCTGGATAGGGTGCCATAGTGTGTTGTATGAAGTACCATTTTAATTCTCCTTCCAGGCCTCATCAGTGCAGAAGGGCCCTGGTGTGGAAGCAGGCCCAGAATTATTTTCACAGGGTCAGGGACTGAAGGAGAGATGCTCTATTATCATTTGTGACTCTACGTGAAAGCCAGTTCAAGGCTTAAGGTGCTTCAATCAGAGCCCCATCCTGGGTGCCTGAAATGTTTAGAATACTTACTATACACCCTCAAGGGAAAGATCTCACTTATTGGATCTTTGTCATCAGCTATCTGGATCTGTGCTTTGTATGTGCCAGAATCCTCTTGATTTAGATTATTGATTTGTAACATCGTGCAGTTCTTGGAGACACTCAGCCGCCCTCTATATGCTGGAATCTGGTCACTGAGTTCACATTTCTCTTCTGGATCCTTTCGTGGAATCGCTACCACAAAAATTTCAAGATCCTGCTTTCCTTTAGTTCTAAGCCAAGAAATCTTTTTGAATTGTTCTGCAGTGTTCAGTAGGAAAGTTGCAGGTTCTCCCAGAATTCCTTTCATTTTCTCAGTATTTTCTTCACCATAGGAACCTGTATGGTCAAGAAAATGAAGGAAGAAACTGTCAAGAAACATAGGAATTTGCCTTATGTCAAGTCTGACCATTGGTCCATCTAGCCTAGTATTGTCCACACTGACAGGCAGCAGCTCTCCTGGATTGCAACTAGGCTTTCTCAGCCTTCCTGGAACTTGCCAGGGATTGAACTTGGACCTTTTGCATGCAAAGCATATGCTTTACCACTGAGCCACAGCCCCTCCACAATTGTACCACACCATCCCAGTGACCCATTTCAGTATCTGAAAGCAGATTCCCTGAAAAATCTGCTGGGTACTGATCTGTCTGGTCTTTTTTTATTTTTTATTCCGCTCTCCCCAGCAGGGTTAATGTACATTTGGCAGAAAGGACCTTTGCAGACAATGTAATTATTGTTATAGGATTGGGAGCTTGGCTTGGATGATATTGTTGCACACCACCCCGATGTCTGAGCAGTGCTCCCCGCTCCCAGATAACCTGAGACAGAGTGGGCATTCTGGCCCTCCACACTCAAGCCTGTGGTCATATGATGGGAACTGAACTCCAGCAATTCCCCAGCCCTGTCCCAAGATGTGTGCTCATTGTCTGTGTGGCAGACTATCCTTGTAGACCCTGAAAGACTCTGTGCCGCCTGCCTTCCAATGGCAGAGCCCAGTGATGCCCTCCCAAGGGGGGGTGGAGACGGACAGACTGAAATTAATGCAGCCCCACAGCACCCTGAGGCTGAGTTTGCCAAAGGCTTTGTGGCAGCACTGGCAGCCTCTGGGCTCCCCTTTGCCTTTAAGGCTGCAATCCATACCTGCTGAAATTGATCACGCCTGTCTTTGAAATAAACATGGAGAGGACTTTAATATTTGCTTGCCTACATTTTCAGGGTGAAAAACTGACTCTTGTGAAGGTTAAGATGTTCCCTAATCACCCCACCTTTTCATATTATTTTCTCCAGTTTGTAACCCAACCTGCATTCCCTCCCTCTCTTTTTTTCGGTTAGGGCTTTATTTTTGCTCACATTCAACCAGGGGGCATACAGTGAAGATGTCACATAGTCTTAAAAGACCACCAGATGTAATGTTGGTTTTTCTGAGTTGGACCCTGAGGGGAAGAATGAATTTGTGCTCCCTCTCCATCCCATGGACTGCTTTTTGGCACTTCAGTTGCAAAGCTGGGGGATGTTTGGGACCCCTCTTGGGTTGCCCTTCTGGTCATGTGATAAATAAATTAGGTAAAGGTAAAAAGACCCCTGACCATTAGGTCCAGTCGCGGACGACTCTGGGGTTGCAGCGCTCATCTCACTTTCTTGGCCGAGGGAGCCGGAGTACAGCTTCCGCGTCATGTGGCCAGCATGAATAAGCCGCTTCTGGCGAACCAGAGCAGTGCACGGAAACACCGTTTATCTTCCTGCCGGAGCAGTACCTATTTATCTACTTGTACTTCGTGCTTTCGAACTGCTAGGTTGGCAGGAGCTGGGACCGAGCAACGGGAGCTCACCCCGTCACGGGGATTCGAACTGCCAACAATTCCATAATGAATATCCCAGGCAGGCAACAAAAGAAGCAGGCAGGGGGAAGGGTGTGTGTGTGTGTGTGTGTGTGTGTGTGTGTGTGTGTGTAAGAGAGACAGAGAGAGTTCTAAAAACTCATCTTTTGCAAGTTAAAGAGAACTGTTGCTAAATGAGTATGTGATTACACAAAAGTGTTTCTCAACTGGAAACTTATCACTTCCTCCTTGCTCTGTGACAAGAGGAAGCAGCATTTCTGCATTACGAAAGGGATGGTGCATAAACAATCTAGTTATTTAGACTCCCCTGCACCAATTATAGCACCCCCAGGGCAGTTTCCAGAATATCGTAACAGAAAAAAACAGTTACAAAAGCATGCATCGGTAAAAAAACAAACCCAGCCTAAGATAGGGGTGGGAATCTTTGTGGCCCCAAGGGTCAGATCAGGATCATTCTCATGGACCAAGTTTGACAGGTGGGCAGGGCTGCTCAGCTGCCAATCACATTTTGCAATTATGACACCACATGAGTGGCAGGTGGGTGGGGCGTCCATCTGTCAAAATCCCTTGTGCTGTTCTGCACGTCTCCCTGTGCTCCACCTTTTAACCCTCTGAAGACATACGCAAGGCCAGTGAGGGAGCTAGTCATTGCAAAACGAAGTACTACACACATGTTCCACTTTACAAACACAATGCATTCCCTGGAAATTGCTCGTTAGCTGAGCGTGTGTCTAATGAGTCAATGACTTCCATCCGCCTAGCCAGTCAACAATTTCCACTGACAAAAATTTCTGATGTGCTCTCAACCACAGAAGCTGTGGGTACTAATTCCTTGTTTTTGGATAAGTGAATTTTTGCATAGTGAGTGTTTTTTACAGAAGCAGTTATCTAGGGTTTCGGGAAAGAGTCTTCCACAACCCTCCCTGGAGATGCTGGAGATTGACCTTGAGCCTTTGCTTGCACTCTACCATTGATAATGTTGTTATAATTATTCCTACCTTATAGGGTTGTTGCAAGTTTTATTGAGAAAAGTTTTATTGTAGTTTTATTGTAGAAAACTGTTTAAATACTCAATACAGTGCTATATGGGAGTTAAGCTAGACAACTGTTCTGATGATAAGAGAAAGGATTCATTGTTTTATTGGATCAGATTGTATTGTGGGCACAGTTTGGAATCCACCCGTTCGCCCTTTCAGTGAGTTCTTCTAGTGTTTTGACCTGCTTGGGTCTAAAACTTAAAATCTCTTGAATTCACCAAGATAAAAGCTGACTCCAAAGCCATCTGAAAGAGCTTTCCTCAAGCATCAGGTCAATATATAACACCCTGAATGTACATATGCCACAAAAATTGGAAGAAAAATCACTATGAAAGTTGAAATGAACTCTCCTAAGATTCCAATTCACTGCAAGCAGACAGAAAAGGTTTAAATAATCTTGTAAATGTTGTTAATAATTTGTTGCCAACACAGATGAGATGATGATTTTTATCATTCCTGCAATATAGTGCAGTATAGAGCAATATAGTGCAGCAAGTACACAATTGTGACCCTTTGCTAGCACTATCCAAATAGCAGTGCTTGGGTGAAATTGCAGAACCTTTGTGAGCATTTTGGTGCATGAAATGCCTTTACTGCTGATTCAGCTTAAACCAAATATATTGCCTGGACTTCCTTTCTTAGGGCAAAACAGTTATACTACCCAGCCTTCAAGTCTCAAGAAATGGATACTCTAAATATATGAAAGAGGCTATTCAGAAGTACCCAAAAAGTACAAGAAAAGACAACCTGATCACTTTTAACTAGCGAAGGCTTGCTATTTCTTCATCCACACACCCCAGTTCTCTCTCTTTTTTTTTAAATGATATTTATTAAAGTTTCAAAGAAAAGGTTACATAGATAAGAATAAAAAAATAAAGAAAAGAAAAATACAAAATACAAAAAACAACAACAATTAAAAACAATTCCATCTTTTCATCACTTATCTTTCATTTACTTGTTTCCCGGAACTCCTCATGCCTCCCTTTTTTGTATTCCAGTTCAATTTATTAGTTCAGCAATTCCTTTCCCTCCTTATTTTATCCTGATCTTTAATCTTAATATATTATAGCATTGAGTTTTTGCGTATTGAAAATCCAATTTTTCCATATTCTTTTATACCATTACAGCTAGAAACCACTTAACTTCAATCCAACATCATTCTAACATTCATTAATTTTACAATATTTCTGTAAATAGTCTTTAAATTTCTTCCAATCTTCTTCCACCGACTCTTCTCCCTGGTCTCGGATTCTACCAGTCATTTCCGCCAATTCCATGTAGTTCATCATTTTCATCTGCCATTCTTCCAGTGTGGGTAGGTCTTGTGTCTTTCAATGCTTTGCAATAAGTATTCTTGCTGCTGTTGTAGCATACATAAAGAAAGTTCTGTCCTTCTTTAACACCGATTGGCCGACTATGCCCAGGAGAAAGGCCTCTGGTTTCTTCAAGAAGGTATATTTAAATAGCTTTTTTAATTCATTATAAATCGTCTCCCAGAAAACCTTAATCCTTGGGCACGTCCACCAAAGGTGAAAGAATGTACCTTCAGTTTCTTTACATTTCCAACATTTGTTATCGGGCAAATGGTAGATTTTTGCAAGCTTGACTGGGGTTATGTACCACCTGTATATCATTTTCATAATATTTTCTCTTAAGGCATTGCATGCCGTAAACTTCATACCTGTGGTCCACAACTGTTCCCAGTCAGCCATCATTATGTTATGTCCAACATCTTGTGCCCATTTAATCATAGCAGATTTCACCGTTTCATCCTGAGTATTCCATTTCAACAGCAAGTTATACATCTTTGACAAAATCTTAGTTTGGGTTCTAACAATTCTGTTTCTAATTTTGATTTTTCCACCTGGAAGCCAATTTTCTTGTCCAAATTGTATGCCTCCATTATCTGATAATAATGAAGCCAGTCTCGCACTTTGTTTTTTAGTTTTTCAAAACTCTGCAGTTTCAATCTATCTCCATCTTGTTCTAAAATTTCCCAATATTTCGGCCATTTGACCTCCATATTGAGCTTTTTCAGAGCTTTCGCTTCCATCGGTGACAGCCACCTTGGGGTTTTATTTTCAAGTTCATTGCTTTACTCCATTTACAAGAACGGAAGGCAGACTTCCTGTTTATGCCTCTCCGCTTCGGTGCCGAATTATTCATAAAATTTGTAAAGTTCCCTTAATTCCGAAGTTAGCCTACTCATGGATCGTTGTTTTACAGCCAAATTGTCCCAGGAAAAAGGCAGCGCTCTCCGGCAACAGCTTCGCGGCTTCGCTCCACGGAAGAAGCAGACGACTCACAGCACCGCGCCACTTCCCCGCTCCGCTCCGGAGCCCGTTGCCGGGCTCCTTTGCCAATTGGGGGGGCGCAAACGGTGCCCGCCGAGTCCCACGGTCACAGGCTTCACCCGCCTGTGATTTTTGAAGGGTCCCCGCTGCGCCGTAGCGGTACAGACCCGATTTCCGTAGAGCCGGTTCCCTCCAAGTCAGAGGGAATCTGCCATTACCGTTGGCGCCACCCCGGAAGTCACACACCCTAGTTCTCTACATGTGCAATCAAACTCTCCAGTGGCACCTTGCCTGGACATTTTCAGAGGCATTCACTCACGCACACTAACCAAGGAAGGCCTGGGACAAGTTGCCCTAGTTGCAGGCATCTATTATTTCTTATGCTCAGCACAAAACTCCTCCTGCTGCAAACTCCCTGAGCTTTGACACAGCCTCTTCAGCTACAGGAAGATGGCCCTCAGTCGGTGCAGTGCAATCGCTTTGAGGGTTTCCCCCTCACAATTAAGCAGCATATAAATTTTATGGAGTGGGGGGAACTAATCTTTAAGGGACAGAGTATCACCATGAACTGCAGTTTCTCAAGCTGTATCTTCTTCAAATGTCTTCCTTTTTTTAGCTTTGGAAATTACCATTGCCCCCAAAATATAGAACTGTAGCATGTGACTAAGCCTAGCAATTTGGTTTTACTTTTAATGTGTGTGTTTTTTTGCAGCAGTTCCTATATTTTGGTAATCATTCTTTATGACAGGATATCCTTTTTTTGGTAATCCTTAAAAATAATACAGGAGAATTATAATTTTTTAAAAAGGTATCCAGTAGACTTTTTAAAGCCATTGTATTATTATTTATATATTGCTTTTAGTATCTGTTGGCCCTAAGAAATGCTGAGTTCCACTGATTTTTACCTAGTGTAAGAGACAACAAAGTGGACCTTGAAATAAAAACATTTAAACCTAATTGAAGGACAAGCTGTAGCTCAAAACCCTTGGCAACCACCAAGCTCACCCACCTCTAAGACCAAGCCTAGACAGTTGACTTCTACATCATGGGGGGAAATGTCTGTGTCTCTTCAACACACTTGATATCTGTTACCAGGCAATGAAATGCTGGATTTTTGTGACTGGTGGAAAGCATTGTTAAAGACAAAAGAACTGAAATATACTCTGAGCTTAGTACATAACAAGAACCAAGCACTTGGCTTCTGCAAGGCAAGTCCTGTCTCACAAGCCTATTCCATGCGACGGCCCTTCAGATGTTTGAAGATTCCTATCATATCGCCCCTCAGTCGTCTCTTCTCCAGACAAAATATACCCAGCTCCCTCAACCATTCCTCAGAAGGCTTGGTTTCCAGACACGTTCCCTTGACCTAGACATTAGACATCTGTTGATGCAGCCTAGAATTGTATTAGCTTATTTTGCTGCTGCAGCGCACTGTTGACTCATGTTCAGCTTGTGGTCTCTTAAGACCCCCAAATCCTTTGCACATGTACTGCTGTTAAGCTAGGTGTTCCCCACCTTATGTTTGTGCATCTGGTTCTTCCTGCCTAAGTGAAGAACCTTACATTTGTCCCTATTGAAATTCACGTTGTTAGTTCTGGCTTGGTCTTCTGCTGCCTTCTACTGCAGTGCTAACAACTGGCGAATTTGGGGCATGTGATAGGAGGGCTGCTAAGCCCATAATAAAGCCATGAAGAGAGAATGTGCCTTAAATTTCAATTCAGGTCCCTCGGCAGTAAGCAAGATTGGAAGGCTGGCACACATGATAACTGTTGAATGATCGTAGCATAGCTAGGAAGCTATGCTGTTGTGAATTGTCTTATATGCCTTTGTATGAAAGAGCTGTTGTGCCTAGCCCTGACATTTACACACCCAAGCCCCATCCATCAAGCATGGTCTTCTTTTGAATCTGTACGGTAAAAAAAGAAAAATACAGGACTTACCCACGAATACGGAAAGGAACCACAGATGCAAAAATGTCTTGCTTATCATCCTTTCACCGTCAACGCTCGTGTTGGTTTCCTGCTTCGCAACTTAGTTGCCTACATGAGGAAGAAGGCGTGGCTGAGGACGTCAGTCTCTCAACAATTTTAGTTTTTTACAATTGTTTTTAAGATAAATTATAATTCCCCCCCCCATTCCTTATTAAAATTTTGGTCTTCCTGATTTCTAATTCTTCCGGTTATTTTAGCCATTTCAGCATAATCCATCAACTTAATCTGCCATTCTTCTCTGGTAGGGACTTTATCTTCTTTCCATCTCTGGGCCAATAACATCCGCGCAGCTGTGGTCACATACATAAATAGTATTTTCTGCTCCCTTGGAATTTCAGCACCTAGAATTCCATAAAGAAAGGCTTCGGGGGTTTTTTATAGAAAAGGTTATTTTAAACATTTTTTTAAACTCATTATATATCATTTCCCAAAATTCTTTTACTACCATTTCCACCACATATGATAGAAGGTGCCTTCTTTTCCTTACATTTCCAACATACATTTGACTCTGTTTCAGACAGTTTTGCTAATTTACTGGGAGCTAAATACCAAGGGTACATCATTTTCATATAAGTTTCTTTCAACGTGTAACATGCTGTGAATTTTTGCCGTTCGTCTGGATTTCCCCAGGATTCCAATGACCGAATTGGCGGGGGGGGGGGTGGATTTCAGAAAATTGGCAAAATGTCTGGGTTTTTGAAAATTTCCCCAAAGAAGCTCAGCAACCTTCTGTGAGCGATTTCCCCCCAAAAGCTCAACAATCCCCCCTCTAAAGCCCAACAACTATCACTCACCAATATTCAAACTCCCTTTCAAAACTCCTACCCAATCACTTCCTACACCCCAAGCACACTCCCTCCCCCTCCCAACCTAACTTTCACCCAGATTCAACTAATGTGCTTACCTACCACATTTAACACAATCCCATACTAAAGGTACATACTAAAGGTAAAGGGACCCTGACCATTAGGTCCAGTCGTGACCGACTCTGGGGTTGTGGCGCTCATCTCGCTTTATCGGCCGAGGGAGCCGGCATTTGTCCGCAGACAGCTTCCGGGTCATGTGGCCAGCATGACTAAGCCGCTTCTGGCGAACCAGAGCAGCACACGGAAACGCCGTTTACCTTCCCTCTGGAGCGGTACCTATTTATCTACTTTCACTTTGACGTGCTTTAGAACTGCTAGGTTGGTAGGAGCAGGGACCGAACAACGGGAGCTCACCCCGTCACGGGGATTCGAACCGCCGACCTTCTGATCGGCAAGTCCTAGGCTCTGTGGTTTAACCCACAGCGCCACCCGCGTCCCTTAATCCCATACTAGTTGACTGCAATTACTCTAATATTTACATGATAACATCTACATAAACATAGGAACATCACACACTCCCCCCCCAATTGCACAAATTTTGGGTCCTTAAAGCCCAGAGAATTCTGCTGAAAGTTACATGAATTCGCTACATAAATGGGGGCAGCAGGGTACCAAGGGCTCTGCTGCCCTCTCATTCTGGGGGTATTATGGAGGAATCGGTAAATGGAGTTTAAACTGCATCTTATTTCATAAGGGCAATGAGATCTTTAGCAAGAGCCTAGAATATATCCCATGGGCGCCCTCTGCTGCAGAAGTCCAAGTGGAGACTAGCTGTTGCAAAATCAACAAGAAAGCCTGCTTTCATTTCCATAATGCAAAAAGGCTGAGAGGTTGTTGTTGTTGTTTTGGAGGTGCAAACAGTCATTTTAATTATATGAATCCCATCCACCAAATGCTGGCTACTTGGAACTGGCGAAAGAAATTTAGCATGTGGCGCGCAAGTTTATTCATCAGTGACCAACAGGGTGGAAATGGGTGTGGGTGGATGTCACAAGCCTTAAAAGAATGTCCCTGTTTCCATGTTGGAGGCTGTGCACCCTGAGCAACGCTAGGGAAGAAAGCAGAAATGGGAAACTGCACCTGAGGGTCCATTAAAGAAAGGGGTGTGTTCAGGTCTGAGAGACTGCGATTGATGTTCTGTGATATCTGCCATAGATGAGGAAGGGTTGAAGCTTGGTGGGAGATCACCTGCTGTTACAAAGTGTGTGTCTAAACCCACATGCGTGTCCAGCGTTCAAATGTATTTGATGCATAACTCCAAGAGGACTAGAATCTTTTGCTGAAGTCCCTCCATGTGTCCATTATGAACACCTGTTTAGCCGTAACCTTATGCCCCAAGAAGCCCACACACCAGAAGAATAAAGAAAGGCTGATTTATTACTTGAAATGAAAGGGACAAGAGTATAGCGATGCTGCTTCCAGACAGCACAGTTGCAACATCAGCAGGCAGCAAATCACACAGCATGCTGTAATAATAAAATTTAAGGTCTTATATATATAATAAATGTTCATAAATGTACCAACCAAACACATGCATAGATCAGCACAGGAAGACCAACCTGAAACCATTGTGACTCCCAAACTGACCAAATGTTTTCTCTGCAAGAAGGGAGGGGGTCAGGGAACCTTCCCATTGTCTCAGGAATTGGGAAATCACCATCTCAAAGGGTGACAGACTACCAGGAAAGGCAATCAGATAAGGCATTATCAGATAACCTGGCAGACAGGAAAAACAACACCTTTTCTGTGATGTATGTATGATGTATGGTGGTCTTGAGCTCCAGGGCAGGGAATTTAAAATGTCTATATAAGGCCTTGCACTCCATTGTTCGAGGTCCTCTTCCTTTCCTGCGTGTGAGGGGAGCACCCTGTTGGAACAGATAAATTTGCTTCTCAATATTCTCTAGTTGGCCTCTGTTATTTTCTCCTACCAATAGGGAACCCACGTAAGGACTCTATACAGGCTCTTGGATACCCCATAAGGGAAAAAGGGCATACAGTGGTGCCTCGCAAGACGAAATTAATCCGTTCCGCGAGAGTCTTCGTCTAGCGGTTTTTTCGTCTTGCGAAGCAACCCTATTAGCGGCTTAACGGATTAGCGCTATTAGCGGTTTAGCGGCTATTAAAGGCTTAAAGGCTTAGCGGATTAGCTGCTAAAAGGCTATTAAAGGCTATTAAAGGCTTAGCAGATTAGATAAAGGGGCGAAAGCGAAAAAAATCTCAAGACTTGCAAGACATTTTCGTCTTGCGAAGCAAGCCCATAGGGAAATTCGTCCTGCGAAGCAACTCAAAAACGGAAAACCCTTTCGTCTAGCGGGTTTTCCGTCTTGCGAGGCATTCGTCTTGCGGGGCACCACTGTATTTTTATTGTTTACAACAATACACACAATGATCTTGAGAGTAAAAAGGATCCCTAACCACCCCCAAAGCCTAGAGAGTGAGTGGAGCAATGTGCCACAGACCCACACTAAAATAAAGCAAAGAAAGGGGTGATTTTGAAGGCTAATGGAACCAAAGTCAGGCATCAGAAATCTGTGCCTCCTCTTCTTTTAAGACCCTAAACCATCAGAAATCTCTCAGCCATTCCTCTGGTCTGTGTCCAGTAAAGTATGGGGCTGATCCTTGAGAGCATAGAGTGAAAGGGGGTCCCGTTGGAGCTCATGAGCCACCTAATATTAAAAACAGGGGGCTTAAGTATTATTTTGAGCCAATGCTACTTTATGGAGAAGGGAAGGGTCTTTCTGGATGAGTGAATGTCATAACACCTTCATTCCTTTGTATTATTGTTTATTTCCTACAAGTTCCTGGCCATTTGCTATTCTGCTTACTTCCCTGAATTTGAAGTTGAAAGAACATGGCCATATTGAGAAATGACTAACTGGTTGTCTGTATGTTTCCTGAATCGTGAGTTTACCTTTCGAGCAAGATTTTATTTTCTGTGCAGAACTTCATTCTTTCCTACAATAGTGAGGCATCTGATCAAGGCCTGTATTTTAAAATGAGCTTAAAGATATATTTGCAAATGTTTGTATGTTTCATGCCAGGCAGAAACCAGCTGGCTAAGTACTTTGGCAGTTGTTTATCTTCCTGCTCTCCTGAACAAGCCCCCCCCCCCCCCGATTTATAGCAGTAGCAGGAGACAAGTTTCTCAAAGTTGTAAAAGGGAATTACAGGCTGGGAGCAAATGTTACACTGACCCTACATATTACAGAATACAATCAAGCTGCAAAAACACTAATTAAGAGTTGGTAAATAGTAAGATTTATTGTTTAACAGAAAATAGTACCATGTGCCTCCCATCAGACTCTAGCCATATTAAGGGCAATAAATTTTGGGAAGAGCTAATGGGAAAAGCAGCTGGCTGGGAAAGGGGGGTGTAAACTGAAGGGGCTTCTTTTGAAGCTGTTTTTACTGAGTTCCTTTTTTACTTTGCAAAGGCCTTTTCTTCTAAAAAGCTATCTATGTTATGTATGAGATTTGTTGGCTTAATGTAATTATGCAAAGGATTTAGAAAGTAAGAAATGTTAGATTCTTATGTTAGATTCTTATTTCATTGATGGTGTGTGAGAATGTGAACCCAAGATCTCTGTTTAGACAGAATTTAATACCATGAGCCATTTGTTTTAGCCATTTGTTTTGGAATGCAGGGGCAACAGGGGCAAAAGGTGATCTGGTAATTAAGGTGCCTTGTCGAGGCAAATGTAAGATATATGGCTACTTGTCTGCCATTTATGGATAGAAGGAAATATAGCTCTTTGTCTCCCATAAAAGGTAATAGGAAATGGGTGTGTCTTTTATTATTGGTTCTAGCAAACAGCCAATAGGAATTTCAACCAGGCTGATTGGACACAGGCAGCCAAAGGAGGAGCAAGGGGGCTGGGCTGAGGAAATATGAGTGCTGGCCATCAGGGCTGGAAGTGGGGCAGAGCTTTGGTAACCATATACCACTGTGCCTATCATTTATTTGTCTGACAAATAAATTATTATTTTAATTTCTCTATTGCTGCGTTGAATATTTCATTCCAGCTAAGCGTTAACCACAAGCAGGGTGCTACAATAGGAGATAATTTATCTTTGCTGATAACACAGGATTAAGGTGTTCATCCTTACATTAAGTATTAGAAGGTCAGGAAGTGTTATCAATGCCTCCTTGGACACATTTAAGATAAAGACTTGTACCAGCATCAATATAGTTCATCGAGGGGTACATTTTATATCAAGTTATGGCAACTTCACTGATGCCATGATCCACAGCAATAACCCATCAAAAACAACTGAGATTAGTACGCACCATTACATCCAATTAATTTGGAACGCTTTTGAAGTTGGCCCACGGGCTTTTTAATTGATTGATCAAATTGATTACTTGGCTAAATGTAGTCTGGAAAGAAACAAGGCACGAGAGAGTCATGCTCAGCTGTCAGGAGGAGAGATTCCCTCAGAGGCCATTGCTTTTCTTCTAGAAAAAAAGGTGCCCCAAATCTGTACCATTCAGTATCCCCCTCAGAGGCCCAATGAGAACATGTGTTCCTTGCGAGGGGGTGGGGGGAGCAATGGAGTGAGCAGAGAACCAATTTTATTTTCTCCTCACAAGAACCCTGTTAGGTAGGTTAGCTGAGAGATCATGACTGATCCAGTGTCACCTGGTGTACTGAGCCATATTTCAGATCCAGTCCTCCCACGCAAAACCATGGACTCAAGCTATACAGCTGCAAATAAATGTGTGTGTTTAAGTGCAATATACAATGTGACACTAGATGGTGATGGTGAGCCTTATGGAAAATTTAATGTTTGGGGGGGGGGGGGTTTAAAAGCATTTTCAGAACGTTTTTCATAGGTGTGTAGATTCCACCCATGGCTGACAAAGTTAAAAGGAGCCCAAGCAAATTGAATTCCGGTCGCCCCAGGAAAGCCGTGACTGAGTTATAAATTTGGGGTGTGTGTACATCCTTTGGCCATCCTTTGTGTACATCCTTTGGCACAAGCAGAAACCTTTTCATTTCGCTTTGGGATCTGTAGCATCACCTGGCGAGAAATTAAGAGGCACATTTCAATCTGGGATTCAAGGTCCACTCGATTAATCACATCTCTTAGTTGTTCAGTGCTTGAAGCTGAAAAATGCCTGGTGGCCAGCAGCACAGCATACGTTGTCGGCGCCTGGGGGGCCAGAGCGAACCCCCCTTGGGAGCCAAGTGGCACTGGCCTGCACCGTCTGCCCACCTGGGTAGGGGAGAATCCGGCTGGCCGATGCAAACCTTGGTGGGGGGATCTCCCTGACACCTGTGGAGAGGAGCCAATGTGGACTGGGCTGAGCTGGGGTCCCCCCTTTGCATACCTCTCTCCATCCGTTCCTGCTCACCTTGGGCCTGGGCTGCTGCTGCTGCCATACAGGGAGTGCAGCATGCCAAAGAAGGAGCTCGCCATGCGGCCATGTAGCGCAGGGGCCAGACTCTGCGTGGTCCAGACTGGAGAATGAACCCAGTCTTGGTTTGGGGGAACCTGCAGCCTTACAGATTATGGATGGGAGGAGACATTTTGTTCTTTTCTTATTTTAGGTAAAACTGCCTAATCCTCGCCTGTTTCAAGGGGTATTTTTGAAGCGGTTCATGCAGTTCGGTGAAATCTCCTACCTCTTTGCTTCTTCCACCACATGAGAACGCCAGCACAGACGCTGATGGCAACTTTTTCCACTGCGAGAATGGCAGCCAGCAGGGTTAAAGACATATTTTCGTAGAAAGCCTCATTTCCTTAAAAGATGCACATACAAAACAATAACATATGTTAGTTTCCAGGCCCTAATGCCACGTAGAACCATAGAAATGTAGACTTGGAAGGGATCCCAAGGGTCATCCAGTCCAACCCCCTGGGTTTTCCCAGGGAAAGTGGTAGGGCAAATGGAAAACCACTCAGCCTCCTACCTAGAAAGCATGGGACAAGGGGGAAACTGCTCAGACCTGTGCTTTCTAGACGCAGGACAAGCAAAGTGTAGATGAGCCACCAAGGCAGAATACAATGGTATTATTACTTCCCTTGATCTGAACATTATATTTCTGTTGATGCAACCTAGAATTGAATTATTGTTGTTGTGGTTGTTGTTTCCTACTGTATCACACAGTTGTCTCATGTTAAGTTTGTACTCTGCAAGACCCCTAGATCCTGTTCACATGTGCTGCTGTCAAGCCAAGTGTCTTCCATCCTACGTTTGTGCATCTGATTATTAATACCTTGCTTTTGTCCCTGTTGAAGTACATTCTGTTTGTTTTGGTCCAGTTCTCCATCATCTTGTGCTGCAAACACCCAGTGAAATATAAAGAGTCACACATGGGGAAAATATCAAGATTGTTTGGGTCAGTGGGCTATCTTTGTCCTATCCTGATTAAGAAGAAACAAATTATGCAAAGACATTTTCCAGGTCCTCAGTCCTCCTAGTCAGGCCACCTTCAAACAGGATTGTAAGATTAGCTTGGACCCATGACTCTGCCTAGAAATGAGTGGCGGAGCACTGTCTTCCTAAGTAGCTTTTAGTGAGAAAAAAGTCTTACCACTGCCAGTTTCCTGTAAGGATATTAGGTAAAGGGACCCCGGACCATTAGGTCCAGTCGCGGAAGACTCTGGGGTTGCGGCGCTCATCTCGCTTTATTGGCCGAGGGAGCCCGCATGCAGCTTCCGGGTCATGTGGCCAGCATGACTAAGCCGCTTCTGGTGAACCAGAGCAGCACACGGAAACACTGTTTACCTTCCCGCCGGAGCGGTACCTATTTATCTGCTTGCACTTTGACGTGCTTTCGAACTGCTAGGTTGGCAGGAGCAGGGACCGAACAATGGGAGCTCACCCAGTCACAGGGATTCGAACCGCCAACCTTCCGATCGGCAAGCCCTAGGCTCTGTGGTTTAACCCACAGCGCCACCTGCGTCCCTGTAAGGATATTACAAATTTTCTAATTCCACAAAACCACCAGGGGTGCTTTTCTACCTTTTCCCAGGTCTTCTGTTCTCCTCACAGCCACTTAACCTCATCCACAAACAGGATTGCAAAATTAGAGGCTCATCCACACTTTTGCTTCTCCTGCTTTCCTCCAAGAAAACCCACTCTTTACAGCTGAATTGGAGCAAACGTCAATCAGGTTTTCTGCAGATTGACATTTGCTCTAATTCAGGAGTAAAGAGTGGTCTTTTCTTGGGAGAGTGGCAAGACAAGTGGAAGATCACTCAGACCTGTTTCTCAAAAGTAGGGGACAAGTGGAAGTATGAATGAGCCCAAGCTTAGATGCAAGCATTACTCTGCCAAAAGAAAAATGAAGAGCAAACCTTACCAGTGTGGTTTGCAACACCAGTGCTGCAATTTTTCTGGACAGACACTGTCTTGGATGCATTGCTAACAGGGTTCTCTACTTTGCAAGTGAAGTTCAAATCATTGCTTTCTAAATTGTGCCAGGTGACAAGAGATCTCCCAGTGGATTCACTCATGCTGGCTGGGGCCCAGCTGAACGTGGCATCATCTTCCCAGCTCCCTGCAGAGCAGTTCAGCTGCAGAGTTCCATTCCCACCACGATAATCTTTTGGGTCACAGACAATCTCCAGGTCAGCCTCCAATAAACGCTCTGAACAGGAAGGGAGAGAGAGAGACATGGTATACAAAACAGCAATAATTAGCAGAAAGGCAAATGAGGCAGCTGCAAATAAATGGAAAGGGAAGAAAAAACAGCAGCAAAAGCATAAGAAAAGTTTTTATTTAAAACGGAAATAAGCAACAAAACTTGAGAGATTATTTCCTTCCCTACAGACTCCCTTGAAGATCAGTAGAGAATCTATATGTACTTCCATTGATTTCAAACATTGGGTATGTGTGGCCCAGGATGGGGCGTTCTTTGCGCTGGACCTCAAGCTATGGAATTCCCTCCCTGCCTGGATATAGTTTTTCTATCAAATGCTCAACACACCCCTCTTTACCTTGGCCTCTGACACCTCATATATATTTCAGGCCGTCCTAATCTGCTACATTTAAATTGTTTTACTTGATTTTAAAACCTTGTAATCTGTCCTGGGGCCTTACGGTAAAGGGCGGGAAATAAATACAATATAATATGCCTGGCAGAGTGGGAATTCTATGCCAAAATACCCCACACTGTGGTGTTCATCCCTTGTTGTGGGAAGAGGTGAAAGTGGTGTGATGGAGCCATTCTAGCTCTTGTGGGGTGCACCATCACCTCAAAAACCTGTTAGGCTACAGCTGATAATGAGACATAATCATGAGTTAATATGAGATCTTACTAATGGGGAAGGACCCTGGTGGGTTTTTTTGTGGGAGGTCTGGATAGAGTGCCATAGTGTGTTGTATGAAGTACCATTTTAATTCTCCTTCCAGGCCTCATCAGTGCAGAAGGGCCCTGGTGTGGATGCAGGCCCAGAATTATTTTCACAGGGTCAGGGACTGAAGGAGAGATGCTCTATTATCATTTGTGACTCTACATGAAAGCCAGTTCAAGGCATAAGATGCTTCGATCAGAGCCCCATCCTGGGTGCCTGAAATGTTTAGAATACTTACTATATACCATCAGGGTAAAGGTTTCCCTTATTGGATCTTTGTCATCAGCTATCCAGATCTGTGCTCTGTATGTGCCAGAATCCTCTTGATTTAGATTATTGATTTGTAACCTCTTGCAGTCCTTAGAGACACTCAGCCGCCCTCTATATGCTAAAAATTGGTCACTGAGTTCACATCTCTCTTCTGGATCCTTTCGTGGAATCGCTGCCACAAAAATTTCAAGATCCTGCTTTCCTTTAGTTCTAAGCCAAGAAATCTTTTTGAATTGTTCTGCAGTGTTCAGCAGGAAAGTTGCAGATCGTCCCAGAATTCCTTTCATATTCACAGCATTTTCTTCACCAGAGGAACCTGTATGGTCCAGGAAATGAAGGAAGAAACTGTCAAGAAACATTGAAAGCTGCCTTATGTCAATTCAGAGCATTGGTCCATCTAGCTTAATTTTGTCCACACTGACAGGCAGCGGCTCTCTGGGCTTTCAGCTAGGAAGGGCGGGAGCCTTTATTTTTTTGTTCACATTCAACCAAGGGTCAAACCGTGAAGATGTTGCAGTGTCACCTATCCTCTAAGGGCAGGTGCACACCATCCATTTAAAGCACATCCAACACACCTCTAAAGCACATGGCTTCTCCCCAAAGAATTCTTGAGGCTGTAGAATGTTAAAGGTGCTGGGAGTTATAGTTCTGTGAGAGGAAACTACAGTTCCCAGGATTCTTTGGATAATCCATGTGCTTTAAATAGATGGTGTGGAGCTGCCCAAAGTCTTCCAAAAGCAATTCTAGTTTTCCAGGGCTGGGTTCTGAAGAGAATAACAAAATGGTGCCCCCGCCCTGTTCCATGGACTGGTGACTGGTGCTCCCAGAGCAAAGCTGGAGGGTGTTTGTGACCCCTCGGGTTGCCTTTGTGCCATCAGTAGTGGAGCCAGGGGAGAGCCAGCAGCTTCTCCTTCCCTCAAGTGCCCCCTCCAGTATGTGACCTCTCTGAAGCTGGACTTGGGCCAGACTAAAATTCCTGGCCCTACTTGAAGCAAAAGATGGCCGTTCACAGCAATGCAGCCAGAGCATTTGGGGGCGTGTGCTAGGAGGGCAGTTAAGCCTATAACCAAGCCAGACCCTTTATGAAGGAAGTCTCGCTCTCCTCCACTATTCACGGCACAAAGAAGAATTAACAAGGACACATTTCCTCTCTCTCTCTCTCCCAAAAAAGCCAATCATACAGGTCGGCCAAAGCAGTTTCTGCGCCAAAACTGGGGCTAAACCCCAACTGAAATGGATCTCAAAAATAAGTTTCCTCCAAGAGTGCCTGGATCTGGTCCACAACCACCTGCTCAAGAACCTTGGCCAAGAAGGGAGATTGTTGACAGGCCGGTAATTACTTAAGATTTTTCGAATCTATAATTTTTCGATCTACAACGAAATGAAAAAGGTACTTAAATATACCTTTCTGAAGAAACCAGAGGCCTTTCTCCTGGGCATGGTTGGCCAATTGGTGTCAAAGAAGGATAGAACTTTCTTTATGTATGCAACAAAAGCAGCAAGAATACTCATCGCGAAGTATTGGAAGACACAAGATTTACCCACTTGGGAAGAATGGCAGATGAAGTTGATGGACTATATGAAATTGGCAGAAATGACTGGCAGAATCCGAGACCAGGGAGAAGAGTCGGTGGAAGAAGACTGGAAAAAATTTAAAGACTATTTACAGAAATACTGTAAAATTAATGAATGTTAGAAAAATGTTGGAATGAAGTTATATGGCTTTAGTAGAAATGTTATAAGGAATTAAGTATAAATAGATCAATAGAGTATTAAAGGGAAAAATAAGGTTAGAATCTGTTAAGATATTAAAGGATAGAAAGCAGAGGAAGATGGAAAGGAATTGCTGAAATAATCAACAGAAGTGGAATACAAAAAGGGAGGTGTGAGGAGGTCACTGAAATAAGTGAATGAAAGATAAGATACTGAAATTGTTTGATGTCTTTTAAATTGTTTTTGTTTTGTCTTGTTAGTTTGAAATGTATTGTATTGTTTTTTTCTTTTTCTTTTTTGTTTGTGTGTGTTTAAATTGTTGGAAAAGTAATAAATATTATTTTTTTAAAAAAAAAGAACCTTGGCCAAGAAGGGAGATTGTTGACAGGCCGGTAATTACTTAAGATTTTTCGAATCCAGAAATGGTTTCTTGAGGAGTGTTTCCATACCCTCCTTCCATACCCTCCAACATTTCTCTGATGAAAATAGAGACGTCCCATTCCATAATGATAATTTTACTATTTATACCCTACGCATCTTATTGGCACTCTGGGCAGCTTCCAATATATATAAAAACACAATAAAACATTAAATATTAAAAAAAAGACACCGTCCCTATTCAGGATTGCCTTCAGACGGCTCTGGGGTTGGATAACTTCATAACCTCCAACATTTATCGAATGAAAATAGGGATATCCCAAGGAAAAGCGGAGCATTTTGGGGTCAAATCAGAAACCGAGATGGCTCTAAATCAGGGATGTCCCTGGAAAACATTCTCGCAGGCAGTGACTAACCCCTCTTGCAAAAAGGCATTAACCACTTCCTTAGCCCAGCCAGCTGCCTCCTCCCTGCTTGTTTTTATCAGATGCACACACAATTAATTAATGATTGCTCTATACACACACAAATCAATTAATTAATCACCCCGTTTCCTCCCCGAAGAGGTGAGGCTGACACAACAATACACAGGTCTGAAAAACATTTAAAAGCAATCAAATCTCTTTACACAGCGGAATCATTTCAAGGTTGCCGGGAACGGTGTGTCTCGGTGATGAGTGCCTAGAGGAACAGGAAGGTTATCTGGTTCTGCCTGGATATTCCATAATAGTGAAGGACTGGCACATTTCAGCAAGGAGGGCATAGCATCAAAGGGCAGCTGCTACCAAGAAGACCCTGTTCACTGGAAAGCACCGAACAGGCAGCACTCAGTAGCACCACCACCACCAACATCAGGGCCTCCCCCTGCCAATTGCACAACCCAATATAACCATAGTTACATATGGCCCTGTGACGGTGGAATGTGTGTGTGGCAAGATCTGCAACTTCCTTCCCAAAATTGTAAAGTAGGAAGGGATCCCAAGAGTCATCTACTCCAACCTTCTGCACATATTCATTAATCTTAAGTCCTTCAGACTTTTAATGGAGAAAGCCCTGGGTTTTGGATAATTCTGGTTTAAATGAGGACCATGTCTCTCTCTTTTTAGTATAATTTTTATTAAGTTTTCTATTTTAAAATTTAAAATATTCATTAAACAACCTTAAAATGTCAGTGACTTCCCTTCTTCTCTTTCCATGGCTCAATTCGCATATCGTAAATCCCTGCATATTTTACATAAACTAAACCATTCACTATTCCATTAATACACCCATCAAAACATCATTATTATTATTATTATTATTATTATTATTATTTTATTTATTTATACCTCGCCCATCAGGCTGGGTTTCCCCAGCCACTCTGGGTGGCTCCCAACAGAATTAAAAGCACAGTAGAACATCAAACATTAAAAACTTCTCCATACAGGGCTGACTTCAGATGTCTTCTAAAAGGCAGATAGTTGTTTATTTCCTTGACATCTGAAGGGAGGGCGCTTCACAGGGCGGGCACCACTACCGAGAAGGCCCTCTTTTTACACAGTTGAATTTATCTTAATGCTGCCAACTAATGAGGACCACGTCTTCCACATGATAGGTGACAAATGAGGATAGCCTGAAAACATTTTTGCTGTTGGGAATCACCTTAAACTTATTTGCATACCAGGAATGCCTCCTTCATGGTCTCACAGCTGACACCCCACCTACCCACCTTTGGGGCCATCACCAAACAGTGGAGGCTCACTCTTCATGCGTGGAGCGAAGGGGGCTGTACCCCAGAAACCTGCCACAATAAACTACGGGTGGGGTCTTTAAGGTGCCTCCACCAAACACTTTGTAATTTTGGAGCCAGGATTTGTGATAGAGGAAATGTTTTAAAGGAGTTGAGGAAGGACCTTCAAGTAACCAAGACCCTATCTATCGAGCGTGTTCTTCCTTTTCAGATGGGGGAGGGGGGAGTTTGCATCCAGAACTTACCAGCTGGTAGTGCAAGTAGCCCCAGAATGAAAAATGCCTTGCATAGTATCATTTCGGCTTTGCTCTGCTGTTTCTTTACTGCCTGTTTCCTGCCATCAAGGCTCCGTGTAAGTCATATGAAACCGAAAGTGTGTGCGTGTTCTCTAAAAATCACCACCTCGACCAGAGACAAAAATAAGTGGCCTTATATGGAACCAGAACATTGCTCTGATAGTCTTCACCAGGGGAAACAAAACTCTGGACTATGGGCCCACACTAGGCCCCACCCCAATGTCCCCTTTTGGCCCATGAGGCTTGCCTATCTCCTGATGTCCGGTGAGGTCAGGTGTAAGACAGGTAAAAGCCATGGCATCAAATACAATAGGAAGAAAGAATTAGAACCTTTGGAATGAATTGGGCACCTTTTGAAATTGGCAGCCTGGGCGGCGACAGAAGAAGGCACCAAATTCAAAAAGTGCTGAATTCAAGCCAAGGTTGCAAAGGCAAAATTAGGAGCACACTTTGAGGGCCCTCCTTTCTCTTCCTTTGCAGCAGCAGTAGGGCTTTAAATCACCTGATGTCAGATGATTGACAGGTAGGTGGCCAACCCACTTATCAAAATGGCCTGCAGAGGGGTGGTCTTTAGTTCCTGACCTCTGAAACGACATGGGCTGGCGAGGGCTCTCCAGGGTTTCAGACAAAGGACTCTCCCAGCCCCATCTGGAGATGCTGGGGATTGAACCTAGGACCTTCTGATGTTTTATCTGTGGGTCAAAAGGTCATGTTGGAGATGGCAGGATCATTATATTAGAGCAGCGGTTGCCAAACTGGACTCCGCAGAAGAAGAGTTTGGATTTGATATCCCGCTTTATCACTACCCGAAGGAGTCTCAAAGCGGCTAACATTCTCCTTTCCCTTCCTCCCCCACAACAAACACTCTGTGAGGTGAGTGGGGCTGAGAGACTTCAAAGAAGTGTGACTAGCCCAAGGTCACCCAGCAGCTGCATGTGGAGGAGCGGAGACGCGAACCCAGTTCCCCAGACTACGAGTCTACCGCTCTTAACCACTACACCACACTTGGTGCTCCACAAAGCATCTTCAAGTGTTCCATGAATAGATTGGAAAGAAAAAGAAGTGAATATGAGCCTGTGGCATAAGGGTGAGACTCAGTGGCGGAGCTGCATTTGTGGGACCCTGAAGCTCAAACTGCCATGTGAGGGCCTTCACAACTAGCAATAAGGTTTGGCTAACCACTGTTATCTTCTTGAGTGGGGTTGTTCCATGACAGATCACCACACCTTTACAATGTCTGTGCTACTGACTCAAGCTTTGGGGTTGTTGAAATGTATACAACAACAAAAATAATCAAGCTGACTCAAATCGATGTGACTCAGATTAGGTCTACTGGACCCAAATTTCTTAAGCAATGTGCACTAAAGTTGCTTTTGGGGCCCCTGTGGGATTACTGGCCCAGACGTTTAAGCTTCCTTGGCTTCATAGTAGATCTGCCCCTGCCGATGATAGTGCTCCATGACAAATTTCTTTCCTGAAAAGTTCTCTGCGACTCAAAAAGTTTGGGAACTGCTACATTAGTGGATATTGACTGCAAAAATGTTCACAGTTGTTGCGTGTGTATTTTACTCCTAACTTCCTGGATATTTGTCCACCTCTGGTAAAATCCTATCTGACCCACTCCAAACTGGTGTCCTGTGATGTGTGACTGATCCCTGTCCTGCACCCATCAGTGCTAACCCCAAATCTCTCCTGTCTGGTGCAAAAGGGCCTAGCGGGACCAGCCTGTGGTAACTCCCTCCTCTAGGTCAGGAGGGCAAGCAATATATTTGGCGTCTTCATAGTCCATCCCTGTGTAAGGGATGAGTCAACTGCAGCTCCCTGCCCCGCTTCTGGGGTTTCAGAGGGAGGGAACTGGCTCCTTGCACAGGCAGTGGCCTGTGATGTGTTCCAAGTATGGGTCCCGGGACCACCAGATGGTGTCTGATACCATCAACTCACTCATGAGTTTGGTGTAGGGTTTGCCCACACTGCAGGCTATCAGGAGGGGCTTGTTGTTAAGGTCCCAGTCTCCTAGGGCTCCGCTAAGGAGGGCATGGATGAAGACTCTCTATGTCTGCTGGGGAGGGGAGTGTATTTGCCTATTTTACATTCCCTGGTTTCCTTCATGGCTGTTTTCCTGTTCTTGAACGGGATGGTGATGTCTACCATTATGACTTTCTTCTGGTCCTCAAGGCGGATGACAATGTCAGGTCTCAGTTGGCTTCCTTTGTTGGGTGCTACACTTGATACTGGCCAATAGGCAGAGAAGTGGACTGTTTGGAAAGGATCTGGGACTCCATTACTCTCCGAGAGCGCATGAATGCTACAAAGAGCTCACCAGCACATCAGCACAATTTTCAGCTCCACAAAATATACTCCAACCACATTTCTCTTTCCCGTGCACATTTGCAGCAAATTTTCCACACCATTGGAGTCCTTTCAAGGACATATATTCAAGCATATAGTCAAAGACATACAGCAACACCCACAACCTGAGCCTTTATCACCCTGGCCTCAGGACATGCGTCAGGAAGCTGTTTTGCTTAATTTTGGACCAGCTTGATCTTGGATGTTCTTTGTGCTCCTCTTAATGAGATGTGGGTGATTTCTTGAATGCTTGAACATACAGCACCTTTCTTGAACACACAGCACATTCAAAGCACATATTATTATTATTATTATTATTATTATTATTATTAATCATAATAGAGTTTATGGTATATACCGCCCTATACCCGGAGGTCTCAGGGCAGTTCACAGAACAAATCAGAATATAAAACCACAAAATATATGATCAAAATGAAAGCAACAACCCAATCACCCCCCCCATAACCTCCCACATTTTAAAAGGGCATAGGATCAATCAAATCAACCGAAGGCCTGTTTAAAAAGGAATGTTTTTGCCTGGTGCCTAAATGTGTATCTTCAGGGTCCCTTCCAGCTCTACAGTTCTATGAGTCTATAAGTCTATCCCGAAGCCAGGGTGGAAAGGTTTCATGTTTGGTGTTGTCAGGGGTTCAGGGAGAGAGGCACAGGGTAGGCAGGAGATGGAGAGCGATGGGGATGAATCCCAGGCCAGCGAGGAAGAGGATGACAATGACTCAAGAGATTCCATGAGTCTTTCCAGCGAATCAGAGGATTCCCAGAAGGGGCGCCGGTGGTCAAGGCCAGGGAGCCCCAGGGGGACGTGTCAGGAGCAGGGGGCCAGCGGAGGATCCCAAAGTGGCAGCTGGGCGTCAGGACCAGCCTCCCCACCAGAGTGCAGCGAAGGGGTGGAGTTTCCAGTGTATCAGGGAAGCAGCTCCGGCAGCAGAGAAAGGAGGGAGGTCAGAGCAAGCCACCCTCCCGGAAGGAGGAGCAGTGAAGGGAGTAGTGTAACTGTCAAAAGGAAAGTTAGAGGTTTGGCGCGCGCGCAAGTTCAAATGTAGGCGCGCGGAGGTACAGGGAGCCCGGAGGAGGGGCCAGGTCCCAAAGCCCGCAGGAGGGGAAGAGCAGTCTGATTCCGCGTCAGAGGAATCCAGGAGGGCGAAGCCCCAGCGGGCAGAAGGACCCTGCGGAAAAGGAAGAGAGAAAGAGGTGGAGCAGCGCAAGCCTCTTAAATTGGTGCAGGGAGGGGCCAGTTCAGAGGGGACTTCAGCGGTCTAAGCGTAGCAGACGTAGGGCTGCGCGCCTAATATGTCAAGCAAACAATGAACTGCAATAAACACTTTTGTATATAAGAAGACATAGGCGTTGGTCTTTTGTGAGCTGAGACTTGAGGCAGCCCTGACAGTAAGTCCCCTCTCTCAAAACCGCAAAAATTTTTTTGCAAACCTCACGGAGTTTGGCAGACATGACTACTGAGGAGCAGATAACGACCCTGCAAAACGCAGTCACTGAACTCTCCGTTGCAGTACGGGTCTCTCAGAAGACAGTTGCCGGCGCAGAGCGCGATGCCAGGATCTGCAAGCCAGGTGGGATCGGGCGTGCAAGAGGGGTTCCCGGGGTCCAGATCAGAGGAATCGGACTCGGACGGAGGGGCAATTTAGTAGCCCACTTCGATGGGAACCTGAAGCATTATCCCAATTTCAGAGCAGGCGTCGTATACGCGCTGCATTTGCTTGAAAGACTTCAAGGATGAGGAGGAGAAAGTAGGCTTTATTGTGTCCCATTTGCATGGGAAGCTAGAACCTGGTTACGCAATTTGTGGCGCGAAGATGGTCTTGCACGCAGGGACTCTGGCAATTTATCAAAGCCATGGACGCTTGCTTCCAATCTACCGTTGATGTTGATGTGGCGCGCCAGGAGATGCATGGATTGCGGCAGGGCAAGGCTACAGTGCGTCAGTACCATTCTCGCTTTTGCATTGCTGAATGTGCTGGGCTGGGAAAAGGACTCCCTGGCAGTGAGGACTTGTTCTGGGAGGGCTTCATGGCTCAGTAAAAGATGAGCTGGCTAGGGGGAGACAGACCTCAAACCCTAGCAGACGTCGTGCAGAGGGCACTCGCGATAGGGGTGCGCCACGAAGAACGCCCTTGGCACAGTGAGGAGGGGCGTCACGTCCGCCCACCAGCTAGAGCGCCTCCTTTTCTTCCCAGGGACCTGGGACGTACAAACCCTCGCCTATGCTGAAAGGGGGAAGAACCAATGGAGCTGGGTGGTGCAAAGGCTCAGACAGCTGCCGGCGCCGAAGCTTACGGAGCAGTCAAAGCGAACCCTCCAAGTGCACCAGGAAGTGTTACATCTGTGACAGTGCACGGCACATGGCTAAAGAGTGTCCCCAGAGGCTCCAGAAGCACACTGCAGCCTTAGCAACAGTAACAGGGAGCGTTCCAAGGAGAACAGTTTCAGGGAAGCGAGAATGCCTGGCTGGAAGCAGAGATGCTGGGGCTCCGCCAGGCAGAGTCAGTGAAGCAGTCCCCAGCGCTTTGCAGCCTACAGACCCCTTACCACCCAAGCCAGTGGTGCAGCTCACTGCTACTCTCCAGCTACCTAATGGACTCACCCTGGAAGTCCCCATTACGATTGACTCAGGGAGCAACGCAGACTTCGTGGGGATGCAGTTCATCAAGCAGCATCGCATAGCGCTACTACCAGCCACGCT